ATATGTGTATCTGATGTATATCCTCAGAACAACCTATATATATATAATTCATTTTGTGTTTTATTTATATATATATGGATATATATTTATATATATATAAAATTATATAAACATTCAGCGACACATGTACACATATACACATATCCGACAAGCGCGCGTAGACCTCATCAAGTTCGCAGCTACTAGACAGCTGGAATCAGCTATGCTCATCCTGCACGTGCATGGGATCAGAGCTTTGAAATGGAGCCACCGCTTTGCGCTCAGTGGCTCAGTTTGACTGGTTTGCGTCATGATGGCCTTCCCGCATTTTCGTGTCGATCTGAATCATGGTTTGCGGGCTTGATGTGGCCACTCTGTTGGTGGGTCTTACTTTACCTTGTTGAGCATCCTGTCTTGCACAGCTGTCGAATGGCAGCATGTGTTTGCTCAGCTGAGCCGTCAAAACAACCGGTCGCGACTATACAGATGTTTTTTTCTTTCCTTGATAGCCCTTTGACGCCTATTTCTCACGTTTTAAGCACATTCAAAAAAACACAAAAAAATGAACCCGTACATGTACGTAAATACCCGTAATAGATACGATAAATACCATGCTAGCACGTAAATACCCGTACCCGTACCTACCCGTAATTTACGCGATAATACCCGTACCCGTTCCAAGGCGTTCACTTTACGTTCACTTTACGTTCACTTTACGTTCACTTTGCGTGCACCTTTACGTAAATTTTACGTAAAAAAATAGGGTTGCCTTAGTCCAAATATATCAGGTTTTTGGGTCACAAAGAGCGTGTTTTGACATAGCACAAGACCCAAGGGACATACGACATGCCATATCCTGCAGTACTCGGATTCAATTAGCTGCATGGTGGAAAAGAAGCAACCGACTGTGCATGATGCCCTACATCCATGTACGGGCCTGACCTGGAGTTCAGATTGTTTATCAATTCTTATATATATCATATATATATGGGTAATATGGATAGTTTCGGTGGATTCACCTAAACAATCCCCAAGAACATTGATAATGTCTATACACATCTGGACTTGTTGTAACACGTCGTTGCCTATGCACCCATGGATACACCCAAGGGTAAAACCTTGATGGATTTGAAGCCATCTTGTGGGTCCAAGGACTTGACTTGCTCAGCCAGCATGTCACATGAAACCCTGAGAAGCAATGTGGCCTCGTGCAAAACCCTTCTTGCCGGTGTAGGGGCCTGCACGCAGATTGCTGGTGTTCCGTTGGCTGGAGGGATCGACATATCCACCCTGAGAAAGCATTTGGAGGACCATGTCCTTTGACCAAAAACAGCATGTATATAGATATATAGAGTATTAGATCTTGGGGTCAACAATAACAATGCAAACAATCAGATGAAGGAGTATATAATGTTATGTCTGTTTGATATCAAATTTGTATATATATATATACACACATGTTTTTAAGATCAAAGGCTTTGGGGCTAGTCATGGTTGACAGAGTTCATATGTAGAACCATGATTTCTTTTCACTATAGCATGTGCGTTTAGACTGCTTGATTTTCAGTGATGGCTTCTATCATCCACCCTGATAATTGTCTACAATACACCAGTGGTTTTTATCCTTAACTTGATCTGAAATAGTTTGTCAGCCCGTCATGTTTCAGCCCCCAAGTTTTTGGTGACAACCAAGTTTATATATATATACACCTTTATATCGTTGGCAATGGGTAAAATACCATGACTCATGCAGGGGAATTTCATCTCAAAACCGACTGTTCTCACACTGCAGGACGCCCAAGCAGCTTTGGCAGCAGCAAAGGCTGGAAAGGCGGCTGTCAATGTGAAGGTCAAAACTGAGCCTAAATCTCCAGTTTCTTGACGTTACATCCAAAGTCGTTTTGTATCATGCGTATTTATAAAAGGCTCTATACTCAAACATGTCCATCATTGCTTACAGTTGACAATGCTCTTATCAAGGTAAATGAACATAAATACATTTTATATGACACCATGTATGAGCATTCTTACACATAAACATCTCACTGCTTGCATCCCCCATTTCCATCACAGGGTTTCAACTTCATTATCCCAATCCCCATGTGGTGTATGTTCAACCAGTCCAAGTAAGACTCCAACATATACAGAATTTATATATACTTCTATATATACTTATTGATTGGTTGGCAGGATCTCATGTGGTGTTTCGTTCCTATAAAGATACATGTGTATACCTATGGCTTTTGTGCATCTAAGGTTGCGACTCTGCGATCCGCTCAATCGTTTGACGCTACTCAGAGAGCTGTCCTTTGGCTCTCTAAAGCTTTTAGCAAGAAGCCTGATATGTTTTATATTAGCGCAATGTATATATATATATTGACATATATATATATATACAAAAATATAAATCTATTTGCAATTCATATATGTATATATATATACTCAATGTATATATATACAAAATATTTGCATATATATATATTTATTTACAATTCATTATATATACATATATGTGTGTTCAAATCTATATGCATATACCAGTAAGTGTTTTTGGAACAGATTGTGCATTCTGTTGGTCAGACATCATCGGTTTCAAGTAGATGCCTAGATACATGCACATCATGTGTCTTTTTCCATCTAATATATATATATATATATGGGTATTTGAATTTGCACTTATATGGCATACGCATGTCTTGTTGTATGCACATGCACGCTACCTGTTTTGTACATTCATATGCATCATTATAGGTCCATGTATGTAGGTGCCCTATGAATGTGTAAATCTGAACACCGTGTTTACATGCATGTGGACCTACATACATGCAAAGGTTTATATACGTATTAGTATCTATATATATATATATATGTTCGTGTGGGTGTATATGTATATGTATACATTATATATGCGGATATATGGATTTCCCTGGAGGATACCCATGGGTTTTGTTACTCTCAGGATACGCAAGACGTGCAAGACATGTTGCGAGCCTCGAATGCACATGCGGCTGCTACTCCAAGTTCTGAAACAACGGTATCATCAGCCAGCTTGATTTTGGGGGCTTCTAGTATCAGCCCTCCTGCCACGCCCACTCCATCAAGTGCGCCTGCCCAGACTGTTCCATCAGAAGGCTCATCTGCGAAGGATCGCTGCATGCCTGGGCTGGGATGGTATGATATACATGTTTATATATATGCAAATGCTATGCGCATCATATATATTTACATTCATGTACATGTGTGAGGCTATATGCCGATAAGAGTACGGGATACCTTTGTATATTCGAACCATTCGGTTTATTGATACAGTATCTCTCTATATCACTGTAAATATGTAATACACATCTATAATATATATATATATATCAACATGTATATTCATGATACACCATATTTATATATATAGGTATATATATATATAGATACATGCGCATATGTGGTTGGTTGGTATGTTTTTTAACATGCATATCAATTTATTTACATATTGACACTGATCCATGTGGGGTTATGCTTTATTTGTTTTTGTTCGGTTTTACATGTGTGCTTGTTCATTCGTTCAACATATGTGTATTTCTCAAAGACCCTGTGTGTATACCTTGTGGTTAATATTTGTATGTCTCCAAATTCCTGCAGGATATTTCTTTCAATTTAGGTATACATGGTTGTTGTAAAAGGCCTTTACGGACCTTGGGCATGTAAATACATATGGGATTTGATTTGTTTGCATTTACCTGCTGTGGTTTTGTTGCGTATCATGAATTTGTATATATGCATTTGTGTAAATGAATCTATTTAAGGTCAATTCAAATATCTACGTGCATGTGATGCACTGTAATTAGTTTTGTTTGTTATCTGGTTGATTCCTTAAACGCCTTTGGTTCAAATATCCTCCATGCATGCTCAATTGAAGTGAAACTATGGAACCTGCCCAATACAAAAGAAACCTCACTGGCGTAACACAAGTATACTTGCAAATATTACACGCTTCGTGAATGACAGTGTACGTATCTTGCACATGTACTTGAGGATTAGCAGTTGGTGCTGTCTTCAGATTATGTGAATTGTGAAGCCAGATGTTGGTTTTCACAAAGTATGTGCGCATCGCATGTGTTTTGAATGTTTTTAGTATATGTCTCATTTCACCATTTATCAAATACCATCTTTGTTCATCTATCTGTGAACATGTGGCCCGGCATGCAGGATGATAATTCTCTCCTCCTGCAAGCGCTCGAGAAGATCACGAACTTGGAGAAAAAGCTTGCGGAGAAAGAAGGGAAAGAGTTTGTCCCCCCAGCAGATGATGAAAAGTCTGAAAATCCGATTGTGACGCCTGATGGCCATGTGGTTGCTGGATGGAACCATGAGGTGCAGTTTTCTATCTCACACCTGTTTATGTATGTGTGAACAAAACGCATATACATGTATACATATACATGTAGATACATGCATGCATATGTTCATATAAGTCATACATGCATGCACATGTGACTGCGCTTTTTCAAAAACAAACAATATATATATATATTTATATAATCATATATGTGTTCTTTCAGTGCAGGGGTGCTACCACCATGATGGTCATTGGATTCCACGAATTACATTCCCCAAATATCAAAAGGAGAGGGCCCGTGGTGTAGTGATATCACACCCGGACTCAATCGCACCTTTGGATACGGTGCTGTCTCAGCATCGCATCCAATCGGGCGCTTGGGTCAGGGAGACGTAGGTTCAATCCCCACTTGTATTTTTGTTCGAGGTATATCTATATATATATATATGTATGGCTTTTAGTTATAATGTAATGTGTTTGTTTATCAGATGTTTGTTCATGCACATATATTGTGCATATTCGTGTGGGTCGCATGGTTCTTATCTTCATTTCGATGTATATATGCATTCACTGCATATATAAATTATTTATGTGTGTATGAGCCAACGATCTGTTTCTTTATCTGTTTCTGGTTGATTCTATTTTTCACCGGTTGCCAAAAATTAAGGTTCTTGGACCAGCTGCGTTGCGGATGCGGCTGAGACGCCTATGCGAAACAAAGTCGTCGGGGAAATCCTACGTAGACGAGAAAACAAAGGAGGACTACAAGGCCGGAGGAGACCGACGAGAAATCCTCGAGATTGCGCTGGTAGAGGCTCTGAAGAAATGGGGAACTTCATTCTCCGTCTACAAAAAGGTCAAGGCTAGGCTAGCCACATGGTGGAAACATGTTTTTAATCTATATATATATATAAATATATTTATCCGTTTTTACCATGCATGCAAACCCTTGAGAATGTTCGTATATACAAATAAATCATGGCCTGGTAGCTGGTCCAATGGTGTTTTGTGACATACGTATATATTTATATATATGTGTATATATATATATATGTATATATTTCTTTCTTTGGATATGCATATATATACACATGTATATATATATATATATGTCTTTATTTATGTATGCCTGCAATTAGGACGTATACATGCTGCAAATGCCATGAAACCCTGCAGTCGGAATTCTTGACTCGGGTGGTGGTCGTCCGGGAACGGCTCAGCTCTCATGAGCAAGAAACGACTGGCAAGTGGATGACGGAAGAGAGGTTGAAGGCGTCGGGAGAGTATACCCAGTGACTTGATATGGGAAGGGCTCACATCTGATCCATTGGGTATATACATTTAGATGCCAATGTGTATATATATATATACAGTGTTGTTTTGATCGTTGTGGTTGTTGATATATGTGTTGTTCACCTAAATCATTTTGTGTCGTTTTGATGAGCAATATCTGATGTGTCATGATTTTGTTGAACAGTGTATATATATATATATATATTGCGCTATGTATATATATATATATATATATGCAAGATGTGTTTCCCATGTATGTAAATACAAGTTTAATTCATATATATAGGTTTTGGTTTTGATGGAGGGGTATGTTCAAAGCAAAGGATCAGTGGTTCGTTGTTTTTTCTTTCCTGCATGGCAAATAACGATCAACTTGGCGCACCTTTACATGAATATATGTATATGTATGTTTCTATATCCAGATGCGTATACGAATGGTTAATTTGCATGTATGTTGGTTTGTTTGCATATGTATCATCGATTTTTGTAAATGTATAATCATCACTTTTATCAATGTATGTATTTTTTTCAACCGTTAAATACACATATAAACTATATACATGCACATGCATATATATACATATACATGCATGAAATGCATGTGTATGACATGTACTTCCGAACATTTTTGTATATGCTTGAAGATGTATATCCATATCATTTTCCAATTTCACATATACCCTGTATGCACCAACTATACCCTTGGATATACACATCGCTCGGGACAAAGCGCTGCCTAGGTCAGCCATCAAGGCCATTGTTGGTTTCTGCCGGCAGTTTCCCGCTACCCTTTGCAGGCTTGAGTTTGCGGGGAGCCTTGAGTTTAGTGCATGGGTTAAACTATAACCCATGTCCAGGATCTGGTCATTTGTATGTGTGTATCCTGTAATTTAACAATCCGTTTGGTATCAAAACAAAAAAAATGATCCCAGCACGATCTGAATGAACCCTGTTGGATTGTGTCTACATACGTGCACATCGATCCACGCAATTTGATTTTAACTGTTTATATATGGACGTTTATATGTTTGTCAGCTACAGCTTTTACATATATATATATATACATGTCATAAAAGGTATTCCCGTCATTTGATATATACACCATGTGGGGCCCATCTGTCCAATATATGGCATGTTATTCGTATCACCCACGCATGGCTTTACGCCAGGCCATGGCGCTACAACCATGAGGTGGAAGAGTTCTTTGTCGAAGACGAATCCACGGTGACCATCCGGAAATCTGATTTGACGAAACGAACGGAAACCACGGAGCTGGAGGTTTCTTGTCCCAACATATGTTCGGTTATTCAATGGTTGAGACACACAACATGTTGCCCACCAACCCATGGGTCATCATCTGCTCATAACTATTTACACATGCAGGTATATGTTACATACCTTGATGAATGTGAACACCTGGTTGCAAAGCCACTGTGTCTTATTGTTTGATGGTTTGGGTGGCTCACCATAAGTCTCACCATAATAATACATAAAAGGTTTTACATGTACATGCGTACATATGTATATATTCACATGTATTTGAATATTTCTATATATACGTGTATATATATAATATACAATTTACAAGATATATAGATATGTTTAACCATCTTCTCTCCGCAGAACTAACACTGACCCCAGGACTGCCGCTCGAACGTGGCGCCCCGTGGCCCCGACATGGATGACGACAATGGTACCACTCCCAATCCTGCCGTCTTGGGTGAAAAGGCGGGCCCAGTTTAGAAATGAACCAAGTACAGGGGAATTGGTATTTACACACATATATATATATATGTATATATACAGATATTAAAAATTGTCGAAGTGGTGTTGGTTCTCAGGGTATGTAAATATGTTTCAATTTATTGCGTGGATGTTACCTATGTATCTGATTACATGTGTTGAAGAATGCCGAGGGTTGCCTGCTTATCTTGGGTCGCCTTGGCTCAAAAGTTTGAAATGTGGCTTCATGTTCATTGAGCCTGTTCAGGTGTTAAGGTGCATTGCCTTTTTAACTCTAAGGGTCATGAACTCACGAACATATCTTTGTTTCTCGCGGCGCTTAAGCTACAAGCAAACAATTCAAATTACTCAATAAATAGCGATCTAAAGCAGCATAACCTCATTACGCACCAGGTCGTGACTGAATTGGAGAAGTACATCAACGCGTTGAATAACAAGTTGCAAGCTATCTTGGATATGATGGAGACATTGCAGGACAAGCGGAACCCACCACCCGTGGAGCGATACCAGCTGAGCCTTCCCAACCATTGTTTTTTTTCCCCAAACAGAATTTGGTCACATAGGGACATACCATCATGTTCCCTAATTCCGGAGACCATTTTTTAGTTGGGCGCCGCTATCCCCTTTCCTCAGTTTCCTGGCCTCATCCAGCACTTTCTGCTCTCAGGATCGTGGATGACCTCAAGCGGATCAATGAGAAGATGCAGGCCAGCTTCAAATCTCTCGCCAGCATGATGACTGAAGTCAAGATGAATGGGTGGGACAAGATCCAGAATGATGATCCTAGACTTGCATCGTTTCCCAGGCTGCAATATGTTTTTACTATATATATATATATAAGAATTTATCCTCTTACCCCGGATCTTTGTTTTGCAATTCTTCTTGCCCATTCAAGTTAGCATGCTTGTAATTCTCAACTGTTTGGGGTAACCACCACCAGTGTAAGATTCCATTCAAAACAGTGATGATTGTTTAGCTCACAAGCCATGATTTCCATCCGCAATTTCATATAGTTCAACTCTATCGAGCAGCCAACTGTTTCCATGACCCGGGTGCTCAATTTGGACGCATCCCACTGATCAACTATGGCTGCCGATGAAGATGAGAACTGGCTGTTGGAACTTCTGGAATACAACAGATCGGCTCCTAGTCTGCCTTCGGGTTTGGTTCATGCATGTAGCAATTGCCAAGGCTAAGTATGGTCTAACCATCAGGGTTTCTTATATATATATATAATATATATAGTTATACTTGTTTGTAAACGCCATGTGTATCTTAACACATGTCCTCACCGCATTGCTGGGCAGGTTCATATATTTATACAACAAACATCGATACCAGGGATTTGGATATACGCATGTATTTACACAAAGGTTTATCTATATATATATAGGATATATACTTAAATATAGTTAAGAACCATTCATGGCTAGATCATGCCTTAAGGGTGGGTATCTAAATGTAAAGCTAAATATATATATATATATATTATATATATATAGAGTATTATAGAACACATATGGATCGGGATCGTCTTTCCAGACATATATGTATACACACCTGGATGAGGTCTAATTACAGATCAACGGTGGACAGGAGATACACAAGTTTATGTGTATATATAATACATGATTTATTTTATATATTGATATAACTGTATATATGAAAAACTCTCGTAAGTGATATCGGTGTATACACACTCCTCATTTGCGTGCCCTCTCAGGGTACCTTGGGAAACATATCTTCCCTGCCGGGTTCGCTAGCCAAGGCACCACGTTTGATTGGCCCTTGCCAATTTCCAAGTCCAACCTCAGCTGTTGCCATTCCACGGGAAATTCGGCACAGGAGTTGGATTGCGTGGGAACATTGTTTGACAAAGGCAATTTTGGAACAAGAAAGATGTGGAGACTTTTTTGGCCCAGTTTTGTCAGACTCTGCCATAGACTTCAAACTACCCAAGAAGAATGCTCTTCCTGGCCAAATCCTAACCCATGGGAAATCTGTGATTGAACAGTTGATTAAGAAGCATCAGCCGTGTACCTTCAAGATCGGGTACACACACAATCCACATTTTCGCTTTCGGAACCCGATCTACGGGTATGCTGGTGGTGTGGACCGTTTCGAAGCCATGTTGGTGATCTTTGTCTCACACGAGACAGTGGGCCCAAGTTTTACCGAATCAGCTTTGATTCAATGGTTCCAGAGTAGCTAGGCTGGCATAGGCTATATACTGTTATAATTATAATATATATATATATATGATTGTTTGGCATTTTGCCTGCCTTACCCGCAACAAGATCATTTACGTTTCATATATGTGAACCATTAATCTGGGGCTGTTTGGTCGTATAGACTTTTGGGATTCAACCTAAGGTGCTTTGGCTTTGGTGGTTCTAATTTATTTGTTGCGTGTGGAAAACCCAAACATGCTCATTTCTTTGATGATATATATATATAGGCAGCCTAAAATCCTGAGAGTGTCCCCAAAAACTGATGTTCATATATGATATCTATATCTTCCTCCATTGCCATGCGTCATAAAGACCTGAGCCAAACTACATGTATATATATATATATATACTCTAAGGTACACGTGGATGCAAGAATGAGAAGCCCGGTGGGGAAACAATCAAGCCAGATCCACTTGGACATCACGGACCCTATGGCGTCTATTGCGTGTACCGGAGTTTTAAACATCCTCCTCCTGTCCCACCGGCGAAGTGATTCCTGTACATAGCCAGTGGGGCTGTACATGGTGTATATAGACATGAATGTCACTAAGACGTTGGATGTTCAAATGGTCAGACTGCAGTAAAGGCAATTGTTTCTGCAAGTTGGCTTTCATACGTCTGCATATAGGTCTTCCCAAACAAAGTTTGCATGCATGGACTAACATGTATTTGTTTTATATTGCTTCATCCCCAAAAGAGGAAAAACCATCAAAATCAAAATTATTATATATCTGATTGGGGGTTGCTTATAATTAGAAGCATATATACGATGGCTTATATATACAAACCATGCAAGATGGCTTGTGTCGAATGGGATTGAGGTTGAAAGAGCTGTTCGAGAAAGAGAAGGCGGCTATCAAGAATCCCATGGCTGATTTCTTGACCGTGGAGGTCAACTACAAGCGTGTGAAAAAGGACATCATGAAAGCTTGGCGCAGAGCGGAGGAGGCAGCGGAGGAGGCAGTGGAGAATAATGATGAGGAGGATCAGGAGGAGGAAGAGAATGAACCTGAACCCCCAAGAAAAAAACGTAAGGGATCGAAAGCCAACAAGACCGCAGGTGCCGCTCCCAAACCCGAAGCCAAGCCCAAGGCAGATGGCAATGGCAAGTCAAAGAAGAAGCGTTGTGCCTCCACCTGAGGGGTTGCAGCTTCTTGGGTTCATGGTGGCTTGAGAAACCCTCGGGTTTGTTCCTTAATTTCTCCATATATGTCATCAAATGATATGAATAAACAGAGTTTGGACAAAATACCGAAATGTTATGGGCAATGGCTTACCCCAAATACAATGTTGATATATATATATATATATGTATATATATATATATACACATGCTTTATTATATACATTTAGAACATGTATATAGAACTATAGACCATCCTCAAGAGGAACATGATCTAAAGGTTGAAGATGTTGGATATTCTATCTGTTCCTGGATCGATGGTTATATATGTGCACAAACAGCATCTATCCAACACATAACCTTGATGTCATGGGATGCATGTATGAAACCACTATATGATTATTAATCCGCATGCCTGTCTGAAAAAATCGGACGACCCAGGGATAGGACTCAGAGCCACCGACCCACCTTTTTGAAGGTATATGTGTGCATCAGTGTGAATCTCACGTGTCTGATTCTGTACCATTGATGCTTCGCTGAAAGGGCTTGAAAGGGCTTGATACATGTGATCCTCGACGGCTGTGTGTGCTTCCCCACGCAGCTTCACATGTTGATTTTGACATGGCCTTCAATCAAAACGTTTGGCCTCAATCTTTAGCAGCGTCGAAGCACAAAAACTGGGATGGATAAAAAAACGCAAGCTGCTGCATAATTATCAGCCTGCCTTCACCTGCTCTGATGTTTCAATCAGCCCCCATTTGGTTTCGTTTATTTACCCTTAACCCTTGTGTAACATACCTTGATGTCGGTCACCGCCCCCGTTTGCCCTTCATGCCAGGGCCTTCACTCAAAGCTCGTCGCTTAGCATGGCAGTACAGCCGTGGAGTGCCAGGGCTGCAGGGAAGTGCTAGACTTGATTGTGGAGTGATCGTCATGTGTATATATCCCATGGACTCCCCGATCCCATAAGAAGCAAGGGGGTCCCATCATCAAATCAACGAACACAATGTAAACGATTGTGTAGGCACAGGGAAGGCCATCTTATCTACAACGTTGAACTTCCAAAATAGGGCCCCACAGTTTGCCATGCAAGCATGCATGGATAGACTTGTTTGAAACCATGTGCATGCTTTCGTTCATGCCGTGGGTTTACATGTTCAACCATGCAGTGCATATGTACTCAATGAGGAAAATGTTCAGCTTCCTTTCTAAAAACTCTGATTGGTCTAACCTAGGTGGAATGCACTGAAGTTATCATCAGCGCTCGTGCTGATTGTGGTGATCTTCGTGCTGCTGGAGTCTATGTGTGTCCCATCTTAACTGCCATCTCGAAGGTGCCGCCAAAGCACTCTGTGCTTTGACGTGGTTTGAACCAAGATTTTGTTTGTTTTTCAATGTACATAGAGGTTTCTCTTGATATGTAGGTTGCCAAAAAAAACATTATATGTCTACATGCTTTCCATTGTGCTAGCGTCCAACCATGTTTTTAGGAGAGTCAGTGCTGTGTGTGTGCGCAAGGGTCTCACCTCATATACCACTATAAGACAAATGATTTCCAGGATATGCAGGCGACATATGTAAATGCCACCATCGTTTCACAACCAAACATCATTTGTTGTATATATATATAAATAACATATATATATGTTGGTATATTTTTTACATGTATAAGTTGTCATGTATTTTATGGAGTTAGATTTGTCCATATACAGGTTTTATCTCTTATATATACAGTTGATATAGTTTGTGCAGCCTCGACGCTCAGGAAGAAGGGGTGTCTGAAGTGCTCCGGGAGTTTGGTCTGTCATACGATGTTCCGATTTCACGCGCGACAGTTGGCAGCATTGAGGGCTTCCCTTTTCTGAAACCTTCAGATTATTTGGCCCGCATGGTAGCTACAGGGGATTTCCACAGACTTCTTGGAGGTCATGCCCTCAAAGATTCAGAGCAAACCCTCTCAGTGTTTTGGAAACGGTTTCAAAAGCTGTTTCCACAGCATGACATTTTCCAAAGTGAACACACAAAGTCATGTTTATCTCGGTGCCTCCCTCTCTATGTGCACGGAGACGAGGGTCAAACGTACAAGAGGAAGGGGGTTTTACTGATGAGTTTTCAGTCAGCAGTGGGCTCTGGGGGAAGTCATGCACCAAATGAACGGCCGGAGACTGTGAATTCTGCGGGCATCCCTATGAATTTTCTGCGGAACGCACTTCAAACTAGATACCTTTCAGTGGTTTGCCCAAAGGAGGGGTTGATGATTCAAAGTGCAATTTCACCCAGCACAAACCATATAAGGTATACTGTATATTTATACATATGGGGTGGTTATCTGGGGATTGCGCCACTAACAATTCGATAAAGTCTAAATAGCAGTGGTGCAGGTTTTCAATTAGCACCTGATATATAATGATGAGTGTTGAAAGAATCATCCAAGTGTTCACCCAGTAAGTTGTTTATATTGAATATATGCATTTGAGGTTGCTTCACTGCATACATCGTTGTTTTGGAAGGAGCTGTATGAAAAAGAAGAGGCCGTGTTCTATGATATCAACAAGGTTATTGCTGATGATTGGGCAGAGCTCCAGCATTCTGGCATCAACGTGGATGGCGTCACAGTTTTCCCCATCATTTTGGGAATCAAAGCTGATTGGTCCTTTCACGCGCCATGATTGCATTTTTGGAGAATTATTTTTTGTTTGTGCTATTCTGTATACAGTTGTGAACCGTGATTTTGTTAAATCAATGAAGTCATGTACTTATAGATATGACCCACCTAAAGAATAAACCAAATATACACATATGGCATGTATACTACAGTTGGCTCACCTCTGTGACGATTTCCAACATAAGGTGGATGTTGCGAACATGGAACGATCCTACAGGCGGGGGCCAAGGGGTGAAGCGCCAGCCGTCAACGGGGGATCAGCTCCAGGCATTTGTCATTTTTGCAATGCTGGTCGTGAAAATTATGATTGGGAAGATCTGACCCTTGTCTCAAAATGATAGGCTTTGTGAAATGTTTGTTGGCATTTGATTTTAAATGCATGGCATGTTTGGGTGTTCGGTACTGTGAAGCACACACACACGAATCTACCAGCAAATTGACCCAATCGACAAACATGATTTCACGTATATACTTAATTGCATATAATTAAGTATATATGTATCATTTATATCTGGTTCACCCTGGTTCACCATTGTCATCATGACCCGCTTCTATGTCATGATGCACTTATATATGCATGCCCCTTCTGTATATAGAATGGTTTTCAAATTTGAGGTAATTGATTTTCAAAATGATTATATGCATGGTATATATACCTTATTTTTGTTTTTCAAGTTTAGGGTTATAGCTGTATACATTTAAGATTGTCTTTATAGCTATATATATAAATCTGATTCATTATATCAATGATGTTTTATAGCAGCCCAGGAAAGCTGGAGAAGCCATGATCCGCAGTTCGTTCGAAGAGGAAATTCCGTTGCCTTGGACAGAGACACCTGTTTGGACGGAAAGGATTTTTCAGAACCGAGCTATCAACGGGTTACCCAAATTCTACAAGTCTGATATTTGGCATAATACCCAGATGGGGCTATGCAAAGACTTTGCCGCATCATCGATCACCCTTCTTGTGCAATTGTTACCGGGATCGAACATTGATTTGAGATTCCAATACTTGAGTGCTATGTATTGCACATGGTGTTCGAAATCCAAGAAGACCAAGTATGTGTCAAAATTGGACAAGCATACTTTTGGAGGCTGTGGAAAACGGGATGAACCCACAGCATCGTGGAACAAGGCGGCTTTGACTGTCACCATGCTTCAATTTATCGAGTTTCTGTGCGGACAGTACCAAAAGGAATGCGACCAAGATCAGAGGCTCCGTTTCATTGCAAGTGCTGTGAAGTCTGGCAATTACTTCATGTCGCAGCTTTACGCAAATGATTTATGGATTCCATCTGCACAAGCACGTGAAATTTCAAGAGCAGGCAAACATTTTGTTTCTGCTTATGTGTACCTGGCATACTTGTCGTCAGAGGTTGGGGAACCCAAATTCCCTTTGAAGCCGAAGCTTCACATGGTGCATGAAGCAGCAGTTGCGTTGGAAATTCAAAGTGAAGAGAGTGACTTTGCCTACAATCCGTTGGCAGAGTCATGTTCCATTGACGAGGATTTCGTAGGACGGGTGGCGTTCCTCACGCGCCATGTATCACCCAGGCAAATGGCATTGCGTTCAATTGAACGCTACCTGGTTCAAATAAATTTATCTTGGTCTTGGCTTGACCTGAAGTGAGAAGACAGACAGCTGTTTATGGGTGATGGCCTTGATGGGTGTGCAGCGGGGTGGGAAAAGTCCACGTGCTTCATTTGGGTTATATCGATGTATGTATGGGCATGTAGGAGGGTGTCCTGAAGGTATGCCCAAGGTAATTGATCATGTAACGTATTTGATTTTTTGAGGTGCACAAACCTTGGATTCGTTTATGTTGTCTCTGAATGCGGTTTTGGTATATGGTTATCCTGCACACCAAGTGCATGGCGCATGTTGCGTTTATTTTGCACGCGTATTGATGTGCATGGGATGCTTGCAGTTCATGTCAAACACACAATGCGATGTTATTTGCATTGCTTTGGCATGGTTGGCTTATGTTTTGAATTTGTTTTATGCATTTGGTCCTTTATATGGATATCACCACAAAACAACAAAAACGCAACCTAATTTCGATATTTTTTATCATTTTTGATCATGTGTTAACCGTACCAAAGCTGCTCAAAATATATGCTTTTCACAACCTATTTCTGCATTTTTGGATGTCTTATACCGTAAAACGCAACCTAATTTCGATAGTTTTTATCATTTTTGATCATGCGTTCACCGTACCAAAGCTGCTCAAAATATATGCTTTTCACAACCTATTTCTGCATTTTTGGATGTCTTATACCGTCCTATAGCGCTGATCTACTTGAGCAACCCAAGGCGTGCGAAGTGGGCCATGTGCGTAAAAACCCGTGCGCGCACGAACGTCTTCGTAAATAACATATCATCTGTGAAAATCACCCGTGCTTGATCAGGATGATTGATCATTTTCAACTTATGCAATAATCATCACGCAGCAGGCGCTGCAGGTACTCATATTGGATTTTCCCAGCATTTTCTCCACATTTTCACATTTTCTCCACATTTTCGCCGCCTCCCAGGCGGCCACTGCCGAAAGCTGGCGCAGCGCCGCCGTGTGGGTCGCGGGACGCGCCGATAGCGCCCACCATGCTGCCGCGGGCGGCCCGTGGCGGCAGAGGCAGGCATGTGCATTGGGGACCTGGAGCCAGGTGGTGATTTGATTTTGATTTGATTAATGGTAATATACACCATAATATAGGGGGAAGGGATTTCTTTTAATCTATACCAGATTATGATAATATCTATACCATATATAATCTATATCATATAATGCCCATATGGCAGTGTGTCAAAACCTTGTACCCCTGTAGTTCACATCAAAATAGCTGGGATTTATGGATGTTCATCCCCCTAAAAATGGTATTAATAGGTATTGATCCATACCCATATGGGCATTATATGATATAGATATTATATATTATATATCTGGTATTATGGGCATTATATGATCAGCACAGCCCATATGCGAACCATGGTGCTGGAATATGCACACCAACATTTACCACAATTTTATGACCCAGTCATGTAGGTAAATATACTATACATGGAGCATATGGGTATTAGTAATATGGGCATTATATGATATAGATTATATTTGATTATACAGTATATGGTATAGATATTATCATAATCTGGTATAGATTAAAAGAAATCCCTTCCCCTTATATGGTATGAGTATATTACCATTAGATACTATATATCTGGTATAGATTATATATCTGGTATTAGTAATGTCAAGCCTGGATTAATAAACCCCAAACGGCTATGCAAAGTTGGGAGGGTACCAGAAAAAAGTATCAGATGATGATTATTGGAGGAGTACCCCCCTAAACTAATAAACCATGGTTCATGAATCCAGGGTTCACATCAAAAATTACCATTAGATACTATAAATATGTCTCACTGAATAGATCATTTAATTCATATATAGATATTATCCCTCCAGTAGATTAACATAAATTAAGAGCTGGACCCTAAAATCACAGTTTTTTCTCTAGTGGAAACTAATCGTTCAAGCAATTTATCAATGGATGACATGGAACTAATGAGAAAAACATGGGGACGGAAGTTGAATGGAGAATAGTCATCACTGATATCACCATGAGAGATGATAATCCCCTAAATAGGTATCTATGATATCTATTGGAGTGGATATCACCATTATAGAATAGTTATCTATAATATCTAATACTATATTATTATTTATCTATAACGTCTATTTGAATGAAAAAATGGTTATCCCAAATTCTGGTTAATTCAGTAATTAATTATAATGATCCAAATCCACAATGGAAATCCCAATGAACATAATGAACTTGGTGCTTTGGAGGATATGGAAGTTAGAGCTACTTTAGGGGATAACTATTATCGCTATATGATCGTAGATGATTATACATAAAATGAACGTAGATGATTATACATAGCCTCCAGAAATGATGATTTTGGGGAGGTGAGACTTAATGCGTTATATGGTACATTTCTAGTTCTCCAATAGAAAGAGGATGCACATCGGGAAAATTCATGGCTATGATGTACCGTGGGGATACAATCGGAACGAATGGTGGGGGGTGTTCATCCCCGGTGTGATCTGGATAGTTGAAAACGGTGAAATTTGCAGCTCAAAGTGATACTCAAAACTGGCATTCTTACTGTAGATTGGAATCAGGACATCATTTTCCAAGACCAATGTTTCGTTTTTGGACCTGGATCTTGCCCTCTGGTAATTTAACAGTTTGCTATTGAAAATACCAACTTTATAGTTGATTTACCTATGCAAAATGGTGATTTTCTATAGTTTTTTGTATGTTTACCAGAGGGTACTTTTTTTTTTCCGCTGGGACATCGCGGCCAAGGTCACCACGCGCTTGCCGCGGCACTCGTTGACTTCCACGGACCAGCAGACGTTGATCGCTACGACTGAGCTGGATGCATTGCTCACGCCCACGCGTAGCTTGGCCTCGAACTGTTCGAGGGATGAGATAGGATGCACATACCAGTGATGATTAATGGCGATAAAAATGGGACTAGTATGGGTTATTAGTTGTTTTTTTGTCTAGTAATTTAATGGGCTATTAATCCCATTGGATATTTGGATTGGGATGGCATTTTAGTTATTTCACGGATATTCCATTCCATTACAGATAGGATTTATATTCTATATGACTATATAAATGGAATAGACCCATATGCAACCCATGGTGCTGGTATATTTACCTACATGACTAGGTCATTTATGGGGTAGTCATGTTGGTGTGCATATTCCAGCAGCATGGTTCGCATATGGGTATGAATCCATATGGTACCAGATATGCTTATTTAAGTGTATCCACTGTGAAATGGCAAATTTGATCAAATCGTAGAGGTTTGGTATCTGGGATCCGTTCTCATGATGTTAATATTTGGATGAGTGGATCATATCACCGTGAGCCTTTTTGAGAGCTATCATCCTCCAATGTTAGTAATGCAATGCCGCGCCACCAGCCGTATCGGATCGATGAAACAGTCCAAGTACTCTTTAATAATCTTGGCAATGACCCAATGACCGGACAATCAGTGAATATCCCTCAATTTTTTCCTGCTTGTACAGGATTTGTAGAATTGAAATTCAGATCCCCTATTGTCATGTGTTTGTTTGATGTTTGCAAAACATATACTATATATATATATATACATACACACATCCAAACTCTGGTAGATCCAAGTAGCCCTTCAGAAGCCGCCTCAGTAAATGCTTTCCCAAGACCGTTTGATTCCTTGACGGATTAAACCTTCAGCAATCAGTCTCCGCACGTATTGAAACCCACATGTTGTATAGGAAAAAGACAGTATTCAATGTTTGATTGCCAGAGGTGACAGCCATTTCATTCGTTCTAATGGTAAATTGATTTCTCAAGAAAAACAAGGTAAAATCCATGTAAAATCATGTTTTTTCCAGTTAAATCCCCCAAAGATATGGCTAAAATAAGTGTTTTTCTCCTCAACATTTCATGGTGAAACTCTTTTTGTTTGGGTCAAAAATCACCAACATGGTGAAATCCATGTTGTTTCAGTTGAATCACCAGCATTTCATGGTGAGATCCATTTTTTTTAGTTGAATTCCCGGCAAAACTCATGGTGACATCAAGTCTGTTTCAAACTAATGGTTAATTATCTTGAAAAAAACATTTCACTTGAAATGTTTCACTGAAACAATCATTTTTTATTTTTCCATTTTTTCCCATATATTGGGAATCATATTCCCAACTGACTAATAGTTTTCATGAACCCAGTCATGGTGACATCACGAAAAATGTTTCACTGAAATTGCCAAATTTTTCGCATTTCACAACACGTTTCCGCACTAGCCACGAGGCTCGTTGGGGTCTTTGGGCACGCCCACGCATTCCCCCAGTGCGCAGGTCCCCTGGTGATTTTCATTTTTTATGGTGTGGGGATGGGATTGGTTTCTCGCGACCACATTTTTTCGATGTTCTTTGTTGAGTTTGTTGCTTGAAAATGTGGAAAATCAACCTTTTTGTTTTTATGGCATGGTATACCCAATTTTTCGAACATACCTCTTAGAGGTCAGGACATGACTTTTTTTGGATGATGTGTATGTCTCGCTAGCACCAACAGAATTTTGGATTTGTCTAGATTCTTGATCCCATATTGTCTAGATTCTTGATCCCATATTGTTTGAAAACACCGATTCTGGATTTGTCTAGATGCTAGACCTGTTTGAAAACACTGAGGAAATGGTAGAGCATCATTGGGTGTTTGCATCGTATCCATAAAATGCGTCCCTTTTTTATCCTTTCACATTTTACATTGACCTGCAAGAACAGGTGCTATTCAAGATTCATCATGTAGCTAGGTATTTGGATGGATTTTAATGATGTCTGATATGTCTGCTCTTTTGGGGGTAGATCATATATGAGTTTACACACCCCACACTACAAGTTGTTTTTGATCAGAAACGCAGCAAGGATCAACAAACCACCAAAATTCACCAAAATGATCAAAATGTAGCATGTCACAAAACACAAAATGAAGCGTTTGCTGCATGGCAAGCCACCAATTTGTGGCATTTCACAGTGGATACACTTCCAGGTGTCAGAATCCAATCCCATTGCCCATTCCAGGCCTTCCAGTCACATCCGAACCATCCGTGACAATTCCCGGAGCTGTTTGTCGATGATGTTTGCTTTTCAACAGGAATCCAACTTTTTTTGAGGAATATTAGTATATATACATATATTATATTAGTGTTGTTTTTTTTTAGGGGTTCCTGGATGGCAAATCCAAAGAGACATGTCGGGTGGATCCCTTTCGGTTGGTTCCTCCGGGCGCAGGTTCGTCACTGCACTCCTGAGCCGCGGGAAACCCGAAGGCGCGCGCGCGCCAGCTTCGCGAGTCTTGAAAGGGCGGACAAATTTCTTGACGACCAAAAGACAATCAATTCAAATGGGAAATTCATCATTGAAAAAATGGGAAAGTGATGAATAGTGATGAAACGATGAAAAGTCATGACGAGTGATGAAAAGTGATGGAAAGTGATGAAAGTGATGATAAAGGAGAATCAATTGAGCAGTGTTCAAAACCCCTGTTGGTTGATGATTAGTTCGGGAATTATACTACCCAATATATTGGGGAGCATAATAATCCAGGAACGGGGAATCCCTGCAAACAATTATAAACCAGCCAGTATAGTGGAATGATAGAGGGATGTTGAACGCTGCTCAATTCAAATGGTAAAGTGATCTGTAATTAGTGATGATAAACCTTTTGGATCTTTTGACATACCACCCTAAATGTTGTTTTTTTTTTGAAAATTGATGGAAGCAGATAGAATAGAACAAAGATAAACCTCTAGTCACTAGTCTTTGTTGGGGGTGAGCAGCCGATTTTTGCTCATTGGCATTTCAAGACTTGTGAAGGGACATGTTTTTACACCCCAACAAAAATCTGGGTAAAGCAAACCATTTTTCCTCGCGAATTGCAATGGGGACTCACTGGGCTTGTGCAATGAAGGGAACGTCAGTAGGGCACCATGGCTAAATCCAAATCGGGATTTTAATAGGATTTTCCATGAAATAAGCCATCCAGCGAGCTTGGGGTATCCCCATATATGGAAATCCCCAAATATTTGAATGATTTTATGATGGCCTCACGTCGTGACGTTGCTGGAGTGACGGTGTATGAAAATTACTTTCTTCGAGTGATCCCCACCGTGAAACATTATCCTGACATAGCTTCTCACATCTTCTGACATACCATCTGGAAGTGTCTATGGCCTATTTATTCTGACATTCTATCTGACATTCTTTCCGGCAGATACTTTGACATTCTATCTGACATTCTGTCTGGCATCTATTCAGACGTACTTTCTGGCATATCTTCTGATATTCTTTCTGGCATTCTATATGGTATATCTTCGGAGATTCTTTGTGGTTGAGGTCCGGCAGGGAACACTGCGATCTAGCGCTTGCAGTTGAGGTCCGGCGGGAACACTCTGATCGTGGGCTTGCTGTTCGGGTCCGGCGGGGGACGCTGCGATCTAGCGCTTGCAGTTGATGTCTGGCGGAGGAGGAGGGGGAGGAGGACGCGGAGGAGGCGGCGGGCCAGCTGACATAACATCTTAACAACATCTAACAACCTTCACCCAACATGCGGGGAAAAATGAGGATTTATGGGGAATCATCAGCAAATGGCCTTATTTCAACGATTTTCAGGTTTGTGACTTGTGAATCGTTATACAATTCAGCGAGATTTAAAGGTTTCCTGCCGAGTTCCCCCTCAATGTACGGAAGGATTCAACTGTACAATGCTGCAGAAATCTGAGCACCAAGCGAGGCTCTCCTTTCCCCAAACATGGGAATGTCACGCAAGGAATAGAACCAAACATACTGGCCCTTGCTGGTGCCAATGATTTCAATGTCTCTGTCCTCCTCTTTTTTTTGGGGGGGGGGGTATGATGACCTGCTCAAGTTTGAGGCTATACTGGCTGATTCGCTGGTCACAAGAGGGCTAGCCATACTTTCCTCACTTTCTACAAGGTAGAAAACCTGAAGTTGTAAGTAGCATGAAACGCCAAGGTTTGGGGCTGTACACATGATTTATTTCGGACAGATCACATCAACCACACACAACAGTATATAATATTATATAATATGCCTCTTCAAAGTGCATCATGTTCATTGTGTGACATCTCATACTGCCCAGATCCATTCCAGGAAAAGATCCGTGTTAGTCGCCTGGTTCGTAAGTCGCCTTAACCGTGGGTTATCCATGGAAAAACCCATCTATAAATGGATTCATGTGGGTAAAACAATGTCATAAAATCCTACCACATTGTTCATGTTTTATACCACCCATTTTTATCAGTTATGGTGATTTTTGGGATGATTTATGGCATTGTTTTAACCACATGAGTATAACAATTTTTAACAATCAAGCAACCATCAACCAAACATCATCTACCACTTACGAGTCATGGGATGATCCTCCCGATGAATTTCCCAGCTAAAAACCTCCTAGTTCAGGGATTGCCCCAGTAAAAAACCTTCATTTATAGGTGATTTTCACTGATTTTCTCATATGTTAAAAAACGTTTTTTCTCATTTAAATATATACATATATATGATTATAGTGGATTCCTCTTCTTTACAGGCGAAATCTTCCACCGCAACCGGCTATCTCCATTGCGGTCCGTCGCCCACGGCAGAGGTCGTCTCCTGTCGCGCAACTCATGGGGCCTTTAGCCTCGCCCACACAGCGCACGCGTTCGCCGGCGCGACAGGTGGGAGCCATGGTTGGAAAATGCCATGGTTGGTGAATCGAAAAACCTGGAATGATGGTTAGGGAGTGGATTGATATAGGATAACTATATCTATATCAGTTGCTATGGTTTATAAACTATCTATAGATCTGTTTGTTGATTGGTTAAACCATGTTAAACCACTGGTACCTAGATACCCAACCAAATAGCTGATGATTACTAGATGAATATGGATGGTAATTCTCCAAGTCTAATCTGCTCATGTCATAGGTTTTGACCATTTTTGACCCATCCCCCCATTGTTGGTGAATGAAAAAACCGTGGAATGATGGTTAGTAAGTAGATATATATATATATATAGTAGATAATAATGTATACACGTATAAGTTATTATGGTTTATACTTAATTTATATCTATAGATATACCCTGGGTAAATTATAACGACCTCACTGTTCTCCCGAGCCCTGGAATGATGGTTGGTAAGGGGAACTCTCCCAATATAGCACAATATAACCTTACTTCAGATTAGTGAATTATGATGATTTATTCACATTGTTGATTGGTGATTAGAATGGTATTAATAATTAATGGTTTACCACGATTATGCTATGGTACCCGCACCACAATAATTATAGATCACTCACAAATATGATGGTCTCGGTTGGGCATCATACTTGGTTGAATGATGGAATTTTCCATGGCTATGTTAGTCAGAACCAGATGGTATCTATAACCATCACTCGATGTCGTCCATCGCCAGCTCCAGGTCCTGATCCCTGGCGCCGTGGTGGTGGCACCTCCCGCCATCCACGCCATGGCGCCGTCGTTTTCGGCGGCGGTTCTACCGGCCACACCGGTGCCGCCCTTGCCGCAGGCGACCGAGCGGGCGACCGAGCGGAGGATCTCAGTAATCCCATGTGGTTTCCATGGGATTTTCAGATGTTTCATGGGATTTCTTCATCTACTGAAAATGGGATATACCCAGGATGTTCATCACATCACATTACTGGAAAATCTATTGAAAATGACCATAGAACTAGTTGATTTACCCATGAAAAATAGACATTAATGGTTATGTTGGTTTACCAGTATGGAAAATTACCATTTTTGACGGAAAAAGTACCATGGTAATGGTATTACTATGGTTTTTTTTTGAAGGTGTCCTAAAATGGAGGATCCCCATTCGTCACCAAAGGTGTTTTTTTTAATACTAAAATGGTCGAATGACTTAGATGATTTGGGGGTGCCTCCATTTTAGGAAACCTCCTTATAGGGATGATTCATTTATTGATCCACAAGGATTGTAGTGATTATCGTAGGGAAATAATGGGAAATATACATTTTGTTTGGATAATACTACCTGGATTCTAGGGAAACCAAGCTATCAACCGTCAAAGATGGTGCTGCAATGCTGTAATCAGACTACATATTATATATATATATATATTATACAAATATATTACATACATACATGTTACCTGGGTTTATTGGGAATTAAAACCGGTTTCAACCAGTATAATGAGATGGGATAAAGTCATTTTCTTTCACGCTTCAGTTTGGAAAAGCCAGCAAAATCAAGGATTTTTTCGGGACATGTTCATGGAAACATTGAATCCACTACAACTGGGGAATCTATGTTGGAAGATTTCTATGTTGCTTGGGTGTCTCAGCACCAACTCCAGTCGTGAAACAGTGGGATGCACGGGTAGAAAAATATTGTGATTTTTCACCATCAAAGATAGTGCTGGAGGTTGGAAATGTCATGGGATAGTAATCTAACGTAGCTATGGAAGCCATGGTCCATTTAAGAATTTAAGTCGATGATCTATTTCTATGGCTACATGTTTGTTTACCAGAGAGTAAGGGAACTCAAACTTCCTGATTTCATGTTGGTGAATTACTTTAATTCAAGTGTTTTTTCCTCTCTCAGTATCAGATTATAGGATGATATTCATATTCCATATATATATATATATATTATAGTTTGGTTCTAAGATGGATATCCACTTCGATGGGCAATGTTTTTTTTTGATTGGCGATCCTGAGTGGATTAGAACTCAGTTACGAACCCACTCAACCACTCAACAAAGTTCCACTTGACCATCTAAGACAATCTAAGAATAGAAGGTTAATCACGGTTAATCTCAAAATTAGTTCAAGGGCTGATTTATTGGGAACTTCCATGTTTAATGGTAAAAAAAAACATGTTAACCACATAAAACATGGGTTCCTGCAAGCGAAGTAGAGTCTTTTTCGAGCTCTGAAAATGTTGGGTGCGATTTTGGCATTGAAATCCTCCCAGGAATTTTCAAGGAGAAACCGCTTTTTTCCAAGATGGCAATTGAAAAATCCTTATCTGCTTGGTGGTTTGGAGTTTGGAGCATTTTATTTTTTCCATGTATATTGGGAATGTCATGATCCCAACTGTTACTCACTCCATCATTTTTCAGAGGGGTAGGTTGAAACCACCAACCAGTTATAAATTGCCGGGAGGTTCATTTATAAATGGCAGATTTGTCCCTGGAAACTGAAACGGGAAGTTCTTCCAATTCCAATCCCTTTCCCACTCTTGCCATCGCCATGTCAACTCTCAGTACAAGGTGAGGCCCTCGAGATATAAGTTGCTGATAGTTGCTTTCAAATTCGTTTTGATTTATAAGCCGATTAACACTGGTTGGTGGTTTGGAACATGTTTTTTTCCACAGTACATGGGATAATTCTTCCCATTGACTTTCATATTTGTCAGAGGGGTTGAAACCACCAACGAGTAAAATATAAGCCAATTAACATCATTAACTCTATTGACTAGTTCGATACTTTTCCCCCACTCAAGCCAAAACGTGAAGCAAGTTATGCGCATCAACTTTGGTTTACTTCGTAAACCGGGGCCTCAGCTTGTGGATCATAATTTTCCGTATTCAACGGCTATAATTCATTATAATTCAACAATGATATCTCCATTTTCCCATGATACCCTCTGGTAAACTAACATAACTATGGAAAATCCCCATTTTTAGTAGGGAAATCCACTATAAATCACCATTTTCAATAGCTATACTAAATCCACTATAAACGGAGGTTTCTAGATCCTTCTACAGTAGGGAACACGATGAACCATCAAGCCGGGCCAGGCTCCAGCTGAAACAGTCCCCGTGCCGGGTGCTGCCACTGTGGTAGCACCTCCCGCGGAGCCGATTAAGGAGCCACCACCGTGGGGCGGTGAGGATGGCTTTGGGTATTGATTTACCATCAAAATTGGGGATTTAAGTAACTGCATGATAACTGATTATCACCACTGTAATAACTGGATAATATATAACTGGTATAACCTCATGCTTGGTGGTTTGGAACATGAATTTTATGACTTTCCATTCACGAACTCATATTTTTCAGAGGGGTAGGTATACCACCAACCAGTAATCGAATCATCAATGGGATTTTCAGGATGATTAATGAGTTTACCCTTAAAATTGAGGGATTTTAAGGGACATTTCACCCCCAACCGCCCCAACTGTTGCTATTTTAAAGAAAGCCCCTACCCTCTAGCTTCCATGACACTCTCCAGAAATGGAGGGCACCATAAACCAATACTAAAAGCCATGGCTTCGAAATGGTGTCAATAATGAAACAGTCCAAGTTTGGATGATTGGGGGGGTACCCGTATTTATGAAACATCCATTTGCTTCTACGTTTTCGTGTCTTTCTGCAATTGAGTCGTAGCATTTCTATCTGTGCCAGGGTGAAAACATTGTTTATTTTCCTGTTAACGGGAAGGTCATCGATCTAGTAGAAGGGCTTGGTTTTCCCCATATGCTGCATATGCTCCATGTATGGTATATGTACCTACAAAACTGGGTGAATTTTAAGGCAAATGTTGGTGAATATTCCAGCACCATGGTTCGCACATGGGTATGTTAATATACTAATTATAACTGGTTGGTGGTTTGGAACATGAATTTTATGACTTTCCATTCAGTTGGGAATGTCATATTCCCAACTGACGAACTCCATCATTTTTCAGAGGGGTAGGTTCAACCACCAACCAGTAATCGAATCATCAATTGGATTTTCAGGTTGATTAGTGAGTTTATCATCAACATTGGGGATTTATTTTGTGACATTCACCCCCAACCGCCCCAACCGTTGCATTATGGGATGGACCATCCCCCATCCATGCATGAATCATGACCCCACGGTCGGTCGTAACGTGAGCCCCCGATTTTTTTTGGCCGGCGGGGCGCCGCAAAGGTCGTCATTCGTGGTTTATAACCCCATCTAACGATAGTTATCGGCATAAACCTAGGTCCAGCTGTAACCCTTACCTAACTATGGGGCACCACCGTTGTGTATGCGGTTTTGTAGATGTCAATACTGGCAGGCAGAGGTTTGGGATATTTGATGATTCAGCCGGATTCTTTGCGACGATCGGCAGATCATAGGTTGTGATGTCTTAGAAACGTATCCTACAGAAATGCTCAACTGATCCAATAGAACGGTGGTTGAGCCCTAGAATGGTGGCATGTTCATTTTGTCACTAAGCATTCAGAGACTTCCAAACATTTCCGAACTTTGTGACAACTGTAGTTATAATACCCAAAAGCCATAGTTAACCATGGTCAATCATGGTTAACCATAGTTAATCATGGTTAACCATGATTAACCATGGTTAATCATGGTTAGTGTAGTCAATTCAACCAACTCAGCCAGCTGGGACACCGTTCCGGTCCTGCCCTTCTTTGAGGCCGAAAAGACGCAGGGCAGCGGGCCAGTCTGGCAGCCAAGTGTGATCCTGGCGCCGTTTTCAAAGCGACAGTAAGCCAGCAATGGTAAATATCATTGGTTAAATTAACTATAACTTAACTATAGTTAAATATATATTGTTAGTTACAGAACTATAAATTTCATTGGTAAGTAACATATGTATCTACAGGTTCATATCTATAGAATCTTATGCTACCAGGCTACCAGGGCTTGGTTTATAGTCGTCTGGTATTCTATGGTATTCTATAGTCGACTGTTATTCTATGGTATTCTATAAACCTCATTGGTAAGCAACAGGTCACTGGGGTTTTAATGGTAGATATGTCTATGGTATTCATTGGTATTCTATAGTTAAAAACTACTGGTTTATAGACCCCAGGCCCCAGTGACTATAGAATACCATGGATATACTGTATGTACCATTAACCCTAGTGATGTGTTACAAAGAAAGGCAACCTAGCGGCATGTAGGGGCCATCACCTTTTAGAATATGAGGATATGAGGGGATATAATGGGGATATTTAATATATAGCTATCGCCATATAATCTTTGGGTGTGTCTGAAACTGCGGTATACTGACCAACATGTCCTTTATGTCTTTCAAAATGATGAATAATCCGTTGAATTTGCCCGTAAATTCCAGGAAAAATGTAAGATCATTCTTTAAGATAATGTTCTACTTTCGGTACCAGCAGGGAAACAGCCGATGTTGGGATGGGTCGTAGTCCCCAGAATTTTTGACAGCTGATCCATCAGCTTGGCTGCTTGGCCGCTTGGCCACTCACGTCCAGTATGAAACTCATTGGTTTGATCATTGACTCATGGTTTTAGTTAAGGTTTGTGTTGAAGGATTGAAGGATTATGACTAAACTCTATCAACCTTCACATCAGGATTTTTTGACGCCAGGATAGGAATACTATTCCAACAGCTTATCCTTGTCATACGTTTTCATGGTGCATTTACTTTCATGTGGGCGGAAATAGTGGCACATAATCAATCATCATATGGAGCTTTTGGATTTTTGGGATATTCTCTGGTAAACTAACATAGCTATTGAAAATTGCCATTTATAGTGGATTTACCCAGCTATAAAATGGTGATTTTCCATAGTTTTGTGTATGTTTATCAGGCCGGGTATCTTAATGATCATCCAATCCCCCGAAAAATCTTCGTTCGAGAGCCCAAATGAATAGCTCTAATATGACACCAGGTTTCCCAAGGAGCGATATGAAGATATTAGGGAGAGGGAGGACCTAGCTGACCCAAGGGAAGCTATTTCTGAGCATTTGGAATATATTATCAGATGCGAGGTGGCAACATAGTAATTGAATTCAATATTCACAACCAGGGCGGAATACCAAACCCCAACGCAAAGTAATGTTTGCATTATATTATATAAGTATTTATATACATATATATATATATATAGAAACCTGCACATACATGGCACTCGCAGAATAGACAGTACAGATCATCAGAATACATCCTGAGAACACGTATCATTGTTATCATTGCGAACATCATTATGTTTACCATTATCATATTTTTCCAAACATAATTTATTGGTACCACCATCATCATCATCATCATCATCATCACCATCACCATCATTATCCTTGTCCTTGTCTAATTGGGCGATTAACCTCCAAACTCTTCAAACATCATATAACCTTTTTATATCAGGCCTCCCAGGTCCTCCAAGTTGTGTTTTTCTGGGCGATCCCCCGGTTAGGTTGACCTGTTGGGGATTGCCCCATGATTTTCCCCATGAATTTTCCACCATGATTGCTCCAATCCTTGTATGTAAATTGTAGCCACAAGAGATCAAGGGAAATTGGTCATTTAACATCATTTAATTAACCACTTTATCAACCAAGTTCCCCCCCTTGTATTTGGGGCGTTGGGGATTTCCTATATTATGTGCCACTATTTCCGCCCAGCTCCATATGATGATTGATGATGTGCCATATTTATCCATATGTCCGCCATAGTTCCCCACTTATTAACCACTTTATTTGGGGTGTTTGGGATTTCCTATATGGGTATGGGTCAAAATTAGGTACCCCAATAATTGGATGGTGAATACTAAACTAGACTAACATCTGTGGTCCCCTAGGTCTTCCATTTTGACCCACATCCATATTTTCCCATGATTTTCATATGATTTCTTCATTGGAGGTCCCAGCCACATCCAGCCACCAGGTCATCATCACAGTGCCCTCCACCAAGATGTTGCGCCCCGTGGGCAGCCGCGCGACTGTGCCCATGGCGGGCTACTGCACGTGCCTTGGGCCAATTGGGCCATGGTCATGGCGATTTGTTGTTGAAAATGGGATCTTGATGTTTTTTTTTTTATGATCTCTTTATGGTGATTAAATGTGATAAATATGGGTTTATTGGTGTTTATGATATTTTTCTGGTGATTAGATTAGAATCGGGGTTTCAAAGTTTCACCAAGAAAAAAGTTGAGATGTTGATGAGAATACCCTTTGGCAATCCACCATGATGTGCTGGAAAATCCACCGTCTATAGAATTTTCCTGCGTTTTTGTATTCCCATCTGATTGGGGTGGTTTGGAACATTAATTTTATGGCTTTCCATTCAGTTGGGAATGTCTTCATCCCCACTGACGAACTCCATCATTTTTCAGTAGGTATACCACCAACCAGCCATAAAGTTTGGGGATTTCCCAGCTAGCCATGATTGAATACCGGAGAATAGTTCGCCGTTTTCACTAATTGTTGTTTGCTCTTGTTTGGTCCAGCAATGTCCAGCAATGTCCAGCATTTACAAGTGGCTTTCGGAGCTTGTAGTGATCATTTAAAGACATCCAAACACGCTTGATGCTACCTCCATGTTTCACGTTTAAAATTTGCATCAAAGGTGGACATCCTATGCCATCCAACCAGCCCTCAGTTTTTGAAAAGTAGCAGCCCCCAAAAAGATTGCGACACGTTGGACAGGCGCGTTGTTTCCATTAATGGTAGATTGAGATCCGGAAAACAACACAACGTATGTTCACCAACCGGGAAACACCACTGTTTCGATTCATCTTTTTCGGGGCTTCCAAATGATATGGTTGGTACCCTCTGGTTATGACTCACAGTTTGCTATAAAAAATGACCATTTATAGTGGATTTACCCAGCTATAAAATGGTGGATCTTTCCATAGTTTTTTGTATGTTTACCAGAGGGTATTAATGATATTCCCAGTATGTTCCCAAGAAATCTCTCATGTAGTATTGGCTATACATCTCTAAATTTTCGAATGTGTTATTATTAGATCTATAATGATCTATATACTATATTATATACTATCATTATTACAGTCATTACATATAATTACTGGGGGTTATATATTATTACAATCTATATATACTATTCTATCATTATTATACTATTTTTACATTATATATATATGTATGTATGTATGTATATATATATATATATCAACCTTTTGTGTGTTTGCTGTACTTTGCGCTTGTTGCGCTTGGCCATTCTGTACATGTCCATCTCTAAGGCCCAAAGAACCGATGTCGCCACCCCGAAGTCGCCAGCCCAGGGCCACCTGGCAGAGTCAGACCGGTGGTGAGACCGGTGGTCAGACCGGTGGTACTTGGGAGATCTGAAAAATGACCATTTATCTACCACGAATTGGAAAACAAAGATCTCCCATTGTTTTTTTTGTTGCTATCCATCATTCAAGTTGGTATCTTCCATTCGAATGAGCATAAAATGGAGGGTTTATCAATGGGAATTTCAGGATCCTAAAATGGAGGTACGTTAGTACCATATTTTTGGCCATATTTTGTGGGGAAATATTCCCGGAAATTTAGGCCTTATATAGGCCTTATATGTGGTAGGTACCTCCAATTTAGGTTCCTGGGATGGCCGTTGAATTTAGTTCGTTGTTTTACCTATTAAAAATGATGTTTTTCCACAGCTATGTTGACTGGTTGATGAATGGGTTATTGATCATTAATGTGGGTAAAACAATGTCATAAACCAGCCATGACTGGGAATGGTAAACATAGCACCTATAAAAATGGTGATTTGGGAGATGGTTTAGTATTGTTTTCGCCACATTATTATTGGAACATATTGGAACACCTCCCCTGAAATTCTGTTAGCTACCTGAAATGGCTATTGATATCAATTGCCACCAGGGAATCTGGTGGCTGCAGTTCGACTTGATATGTTGGTAGATTAACATAATTTTCATGTGCAGTAAATATGTATATATATATATATATATATTTGATTTAAGCAATGTAATGTAACTATGTAATGCAATGTAATGTCATGTAAATGTTAATGTTAATGTAATGTAATGTATGTACCATAGTATGATCATATAGATTAGCCATAGTGGGATCCCTAGTCGTCACCATGTGTTTCAATACTCGTCGTCATGGTCATCACCTTGATTCGTTGAGTTGGTGGTACCCCGATTTCGGATTTCGGATTCCAATTCCAAGATGTTCCATCAATACTCCTAATACAAGTCACGGAGTTGTTCCATCATAGAATGGAAATTATTAATCCGAGTCTTAAGCAAAAATCCAGAAAATCTTACCCATATGCGAACCATGGTGCTGGAATATGCACACCAACATGACTACCCCTTCTACATGACCCAGTCATGTAGGTTTTTATATACCAGCAACATGGGTTGCATATGGGTCTATTCCATTTATATAGTTATATAGAATATAAATCCTATCTGTAATGGAATAGAATATCCGTGAATCCTATTCCAAATCAATCTAAATCAACACACTTTTCAGATTTTGGTCTGTCCAGGCACGGATCCAAGTGATGCCGCCGGCCACGCCGCCGCGGCAGAAGCACCGGGCCGTGATGCCCCTAGGCCGTCCGTCCGCAACGGGGGAAGCAACGGGGAAGCAACGGGGATGTCAAGCAAGAAAATATACCATCTGGTCATCTGGTTATTTAACATAGCCATGGGAAATGGCCCATTTATAGATGATGTACCGAACTTAAAAATGTTGATTTTCCAGTTCGCTATGTTAGTCATAACCAGATGGTAGGAAGATCTGTAGGAATAAGGGGTGAAACATGGTCTTTCCAAGGTTAAACCATTAAACCCAAGAAAAAATCAAGGGTTTATATAGCAGCAATGATTGGAATTCTTGTTGGATTTGACCTTGAAAAATAGTCGACATATTGGAATTGAACCACTATTCACTTGACATCCCACTGACATCACGACCCTGCCATTTTTATTGGGGGTTTCAACACATGTTATTCTCAGGGTCTATTTCAATTTGTCTCTCCCACTATGAGAATCGATCAGGGGGAAACTCCAGGGAATTGACAACATAGTTGACCCTCTGGTGATGACTTACATAGCTATGGAAAATGACCCATAGAAATAGATGATGTACCGTTCTTAAAAATGATGATTTTCCAGTTCGCTATGTTAGGCATAACCAAAGGGTATATGGAGCCCCATATGGTATGAATTAGTTGGTGGATGTTGCAAATCCATCAATGTTGTCATTGTCACTCCTTCCATAGAATTTTATAGGGAGCCCCAAATGATAGGACCCAAGATTTGCTAGATCCCTTTAAAGAAACAGGCAATGACACAATCAGGTTTAGAAAGTTCACAGCTTTTATAGGACTACCCCCCATTCTATTGGGAGTAGTGTGGGAGTAGTATTGATTAGTATTGGGGGAGTCCCATCATTACTTAGTCCCCCAAAAAATCCACTAATGAACATGAGGGGTTGACCATCCCTCCAGATGGCTACATAAGGGTGTGAAATCTGGGTAGAAAACTGATATGTTTTGACTCGATTCGACCATCGAAACGAATTGTTTTTTTCACAATGAAGAATAGATTCTCATTGATGGGGATTTAACATGATTTAACATCCTCAAGAATGGGAAATTCTGGGGATTTAAGCAATCATCTATGGGGATCCTGGGGTAAAAATTCAGAAAATGCTGGATCACAGTGGTTTCACTCAAGCATGCGCGAAGCAAGCAGCATCCAGCAACTTTTTAGCACATTTCAGCTCGTATGTGAACAGACAGAGGCTCGAGTTTGAGCCCTCTCTGGTGTGCACCAATTGAACATGTGAACATGGGCATGATGAGGTAAACCCGACATGAAACTTATGACATGCCCGTGAAAGCGAGGGTAACCAGCATGGATTCATCCATTTCCCCGTAGTAATGTGGTTAAAACCACCATTTTTATAGGTGCTATGTTTACCAGTCCCAGTCATAGGTGGTTTATGACATTGTTTTAACCACATGATATAGATTAAGATAGATATGGAAAACCCATGGTTTTCTGAAGAAAGGTGCAAGGCGGTGGCTGCTATAGTGGAGAGATTAACATGAAGATCATTTCATTTCCATATCAATGTCAATTGTCCAATGTTTTTCCAATGTTTTCCAATATCTAGATTCCCAATCTTTTCACAAAAACAAACATATGTTCCAATTTATAAATTCCAGGTCTTCATTTCCTCAAAATTTTCCGTGGTGCTGTTGCTCTTCCAACCTTTTCACACAGGTGCCGCGCCTACGCAGCCTGCGCGACCCCAAAGCCTGCTGAGGGCTGCTACGAGTGCGCGGTCTGTGGAGGCACTAAGAGAAGATTTGTTTGATGTGTTTCATCTTGATATGATAAGGATAGACAACAAACATCAACAAACAATCTATAGATCATTGATCTCTATATCATTCTATATCTATAAATGAACAATTTTATGTTTTTTTAGTGATAAGTGATCTATAGATGAGTATGTATTACCGGGAAGTGTTGCATCATTGATAGCCAAATGTTTGAATGATTGATACTCCCATATATATATATATAATGGGTTATCATATGTTATTATCATCATTGTCCATATCAAAAGAATGGCCGTTTGGGAGTAATCTTCCCTTGTAGTTTCGAAGATGGGAGTCCCATGGAGTCCCCTAGAAATTTCACAACCAAACTGGGTTTACCGCACTTTGTACATTCAACAACCAATATAGGATGATATAGGATTCAATATAGCTAGATGAGTTGCTGAGCCGTAGTTGCTGAGATGGTAATATTAATCTGATAGTGACTGATAGTGAATCATGTCCAAGCCTCTGGTTGCTATCGCAATCATGTGGTAAAACCCATGGTAAAACCCAGTTAACCAGCCATCCCATTAACCACATCATCCCAGTCATAGTTGTGTAGACCCAGTTTCACCTCTATTGGGATGGTTTATGGTTTTGGATTTACCACATTACCTGGGTTAGTGAACCTGGTAACTGGGTCTACTGTCGCGTAATTCAACCTGGCTGGAAGAAAGCCAAAGACTATTGGCTGGAAAAAAAATCATCGAAAAAATCATTCAGAAGATTTTTCTGAACATTGTCCATTGCTATGCTTATCTTTTTGTTTCTTTTTTTAGGGTACCTCTGTTCATTTCCCATACACAACTGGTATCTGCCCATGGATGGCCATCGGGCTGCAGATGTTGAGCCCCAAAGATCCCCAGACTCCGTTCGGGGGCTCAGAGCTATTGCTCCAGCATCTGCTGTTTTTCGTGGTCTGTTTGTGGGTGGTTCCCACATGGGTTTCTGTTTGTTAAGTGTGGCACTATTAAGTGTGGTTCCATATATAAAATAGAACCACAATAAGGAAGCACTTCTGTTAAAAGTGTGGTTCCATATTTTATGTGTGTTTTCAACATATTCATACATATTCTACTCGTTTGTTGAGGTTTTTGGGTGATTGAATACGTAGTCATGTTGAAAAAGACTGGGCTCAGCATTTCTCTGTTGCTTTAAGCGGTTGAACCTCACTTGGGGGGGGGGAGGTAATCCCATTCAAAGCCATGATATTCCCATGAATCTTGAGTTGATACCCCCTCCGTTGTTGGTTAAGTATGTTAAGTCTATCACCATTGATAACTTCTAACATGTTATAACATTTTATAACCATGTTAAACCCTCAGTTGAGCAGTGTTCAAAAACACTGTTGGTTGATTATTCAAGGGTGTATACTATCCAATATATTGGGGACTATCACAATCCATGAACTGGTAAATCCGTTCTCAACCAGCCAGTTTTGAAGGGGCGACGTTGCGAATGTTGAAGACCGCTCAATTACATGTCAAAACCAGTATATTCCCGGTAGTATTCCCAGTATACTCTTGAGTTTACACCCCTACAGTTGTTGACTTATCAATCACAATGTAGAACTTTAGATAATAATATGTTACCATCAATCATAATGTTTAGATAATCATATGTTACCATATATCCCAAGTTAAAGTGGGACACCGTCATAAACCTCCCATTGATAGTTACCTAATATGTCACCATCAAGATGTTTTTTTTGGAGACGCTGCAGCCGCCAACGCGCTTCCAAGGCATCTTCCGATGTCCCAGTCCTTGCTGGTGCCTAGCACCCGTAGCACCTCCCCTGGGCGAAATTTGAGTCCCGTGCGACAGATGGTTCCCACGTTGTCGCAGCGCACGTGGCCTGGCTGCGAAAGCCTGCCTCTGGTAAACTTGGTAAACGTTTCGCGAAAATCACCATTTTTCATATGTAACTCAACTATAAATCAACTATTTCACTATGGTCATGTTCAATCGAAAACTGTGAAAAATTACCAGAGGCTATCCCCAAGTCATCTCTATCCCCAAATGAATCCCACATGCAACCCTTGGTGCTGGTATATAAAAACCTATCTGGGTGACGTTGGACAAGGGCAAATGTTTGTAAATATTCCAGCACCATGGAGCATATGGGTCATTGGCTATGATTGGTAAGATGTTAATGCTGTGGTTCATGTTTCATGGACAAAAAAAATGAAACACATTGAAAAAAAAACAATTACTGTATATTTCATTGGATGGGTACAGTACTAGAAAGTACAAGCTTTTGTTTTTTAAAAGGAACGTACGGTACAGTACCGTGCGTGTTTTCCTTGCGGACTCTCCGAGAGGAAGCAAATAGGCGTTTTTTCGATCGTAAATGATGGTAGTTATGTTACCCTCTGGTAAACAGCCACATAATTATGGGAAATCACCATTTTATAGCTGGGTAAATCCACTATTTCTATGGCAATTGTCCATAGTTTTTTGTATGTTTACCAGAGGGTAAATGTTACATGATCATAACTCCTATAGGATCCTTCTGTCCCACTGTCCCAAAAGGATTACCCTCCGGTAGTCAAACATGGCGGTGGAAAATCACTACAAAACATCTCCAAAAAGATGAAATGGCCATGGACGTTCATAGCCGGGAAAATCACCGAACTAAATGATCTGCTTGGTGGTTTCAAACATAATTTTTATTTTCCATTTCATGTCATCCTGCCCATTGACTTTCATATTTTTCAAGATGGTTAAAACCACCAACCAGTGATTATAAGATGGGTGAATTTCCAGGAAGCCACGTTTGATGACACCAGAGGCTATTCCCATGAAAACATCCCCCAACAAGCGTTGCTTCAACCCCTGTTAATCGACATAAAATCCCATTCATTCCCATGAACAAAATCACGGGGTATATTGGTTGGTTATCCTATAACGACCTCACTGCGACCTAGAATGATGGTTCGTAAGGGTAAGTCTCCCTTAAAATAGCATAAAAAATATTAAACTAGCCTTATTTCATAAGAGTATCATAGGCTAAATACTAGTGCGTGACCTAGTTTCAGGTTAGTCAACTGTTATTTTCATTTACCAGGATGATTAGTTCTCTGTTTCTTTTCGTCAAGCCTCTTATCTTAGGCTCCATACTCAACCCGCCCTGGCGGTGACGCCCATGACCGCACCGTGGTCGCCTTTGGGTTTGGGCAACTCAGTGGGTGTCGGAAAATCAGTGGTTTTTCATTCTTGAAATCTTTGGATCGAAGTGAAACCTGCTTGAATATACAATATACAGTATACAGTAACAAATCTGAGAGTTTTCATCCTTTTCCCTGGCTTTTTGAAACACAAAATTGAAACCTCATTGGTTAACCGTAGGTCATTTGCACTAATATTTGGTCCTTTTTTTTGGGACCATGAACGGGGGGTGTTAACCTCAGACTGGGGGGTTGGGATTGATGATCCAGATGAAAAAAGTCAGCATTTCCCCCAGCAGCTAGGAATCTCTAGGAATCTCTAGGATCTGTGATGGTTGATGATGGTTAAACCAATGATGGTTAGTGATTAAACATCCCAAGGATATTGCCATTTGATGATTTCTGTGATTCAAGATGTTTTTGCTTTTTGAAAAAAAAATGCACTGCACTACTCGACTGTCGTGTCGTGGGGGAATATACATGAATATACCATGACATCTGAGATACTCGGAAGATCCATCGAAGTGACTCGTTCTCAGTTGCGAGTCAGGTCTATACTGATGAGGTGTATATAATGAAGGGCTTGGCCAATGAGAGTTCCACACATGCGAAAATGGAACACCGAGAGAAAGACGGCTCTTGGGTCAGCAGGTGCTAACACAGGTGCTAACACTGGGGCACGGGATATTGTACAGCTATGTACAACTTATTGGTTCTCACATACCCATATGCAACCCATGGTGCTGGAATATGAATCCAAACATTTACCCTTGTCCAAATCACCCAGTCATGTAGGTTTTTATATACCAGCACCATTTTTTTGCATATGGGATACCCTCTGGTAAACTAACATTTAGCTATTGAAAATCACCATTTTATAGCTGGGAAAATCCACTATTTCGACTGGGCCATTTTCAATAGCAAACTGTGAGTTTACCAGAGGGTATATCCATTTCCATCCATTTCCATCCTATGAACTATGGAAAGATCCACCATTTTTCATGGTTAAATCCACTATAAATCACCAGTCAGATTTGACCCCCACTGCAGTCTCCAAGGCATGGAGTCACGACATCTGCAGTCAAGGCCGGATGAAAAATGGTGGAGAATATGGCAGCTTCCAGGATTTCTCCAGCCGTAAAGCTTCATGGATTTTTCGTAGATTTCCCGGTTGAAAGCCCATGAAAACTGACATTTCTTGGGGATTTTCCAAGATTTTCACATTAAAGCTTCCATTTATAGAATGTGTCCTAGCTTTTTCCATGATTTGTCCATGTTTGTTAGGGATTGTCCATGATTTTCCCTTGATTTTCCCACGAAAACTTCATTTATAGGGGATGTTCCCATTGAAACCTCCATTTCTTGTGGATTTTCATGGAATTTCGCAGCTATAAACCTCCATTTTTTCCCATTTCAGAACTAACATAGAGGGCAGCACCTGACGTATTTATGGCACCAGCGTTTCGGCGACGTCGCGTAGACGTCACGTCAGGTCAGCTCGGCCGCAGCTGCACCAGTGGGGCGTGCCTCCTGAGAAGTCGGGAGCCGAAAAATTTCGGTCGTTCTCAGCGCGGGATCATGGGACCAGAGGAAGGTTTCAACTGGATATGGGTTCTCCAAAATCATCCATTTTAATAGGGTTTTCCATTGCAAACTATCCATAAACATCCATAAACCATAGATAATCATATACCCATATGCTCCATGTATAGTATATTTACCTACATGACTGGGTCATTTATGGAGTAAATGTTGGTAAATATTCCATACATGGAGCATATGGGTCATGGATGTATGTTCCAGTTGAAACCTGAAAACCTGATTTATACTGATTTATACTGTATCTATATCATCTATAATTTAGAATATTATAGATACATCTATGAAGTTCACAGGAATATGACATATCATGACATATCGACATGACGGGAGATCCGCTACGAAACTGTGAAGTTCATCCCAGGTTCTCTTGTGAAATTTCGATCCGAAAGAATATCAGAACTTCCAACAGGTTACCTTCCGAGAAAATAGAGGTTAAACATTAAACATCTCAAACTTAAACCATGTTTTTCATGTTTTGTTTCTGTTTTCTCTTGGTGTCATCCTTTTTTTTTTGAACACATCTTCTGTTTCTAAGGTGGGGCATCCACTTTGATCAGCTTCTTGATCTGGTGCCTCAGCGTGGAAGGGTTAGTGAAACACTATGGCATACTATGGCCACTATGGCTATTTTTTGGGGACTAAACAATGCAGTTTTTTCACAGATGTGAAAACAAATGAAAATTGTGGTGATTACCCTCTGGTAAATAAACATCGATCCTGAAAATAACCAATGTTTAATGGAAACTAATCTTCCAACCCCTATCTGCCAGGGTCTATGTTAATTTACCAGAGGGTATGTGAACAAAAATACATATTTGTGGTGATATGTGGTGATGAAATCACCTGAGTTAGATTCACTGTATGATAAGGTGATTTTCAGCAAGTTAGAACTTGGAGGGCACCATGTTGTAGTTTTTTTGCAGCTACAAAACTGGGTGATCGTGTTGGCAAATCATACAGCATATTTGAAGAGTGATGATAGATGTGGGTACTGGGACGGTTTCTAGATTCTTGGTCTACAAAGTTTGTAAATTGGTATATACAAATTTAAATTGGAAGATATTGGGCTGTGACCCAGTTAAGATCAAGTTTACATAAGTTTACGGTTTACGTTATTTATATAATATACATTAAATAAACTGCAGACCATAGGTACAGTATGTTCCTTTTGAACCAGGTATGTTCAACTCATTCCAACTCCATATTTTGGTGGGACATTCTGAAGCCGACTAAACACAGGTACCACGCTATCTCCGACGCAAAAGCTGTTCAGAAAATCGGAGCGCTGATTTTCCAACTCCAATGGTTTAGAATTTCCACCATGAAACACCTGGGAGTTTTTCCAGATTTTTGGGGAAGATCTCTCAGGAATATGGGGAATATCTCCCAGTTTCCCATTGAAGAATATCATTGGAATGAATGTTCACAATGTTTTCCCATCGAAATGCCATATCTGATTGGTGGTTTCAAACATTGTTTATTGTCCATTTCATATATGGGATCATCCTTCCCACTGACTTTCATATTTTTCAAGATGGTTATTGCATCACCAACCAGTGATTATAAGATGGGTGAATTTCCAGGAAGCCACGTTTGATGACACCATAAACTATTCCCATGAAAACATCCCCCAACAAGCGTTGCTTCAACCCCTGTGAATCGACGTAAAATCCCATGGAAATGCCATATGTTTGGAGAAGATCTCCCAGTTTTAGACCACCATCTCCGAGAAACACATCACCCCGGGCAGGAACAGCACCAGAAATTCCAACGCGATTGGAACACTCGGGAGGTGGGAGCGGGGAAATCTTCATGAACCAAGGTCTAAGTATAAATATATATGATATATGGATCTACATGGTAGATATATATATATATAACTTTGAATATATGCATAGTAGCTATGCATATATATATATATATCATATATATATATATATGTAGCATCCTTCCAAGTAGTAGCTATATTTATGGTAGATGCATCTATTAATGGGCTTCCCAAGAGCTGCGTGTTTTAAACGCGGTTCCCTGTCCCATTGGTCATCCCGTTGGTTGATCGATAGGTCATCCCCATTCAACAATCATTGAGGAGTGCAAGTCACTACAAAATACTCTGGTTGATGGATTATCATTATTGATGATTATTGTAGAATGGGGATGATTATCAATCATTGTAGTAAATCATCAAAAACAATAATCATCAATCATGATGCAATTATCATTATTGATGATTGATGATTATTGGGGTTTTTCACATCATGGATGGTGAAAAAAAATAACTAGATCTGGTTGGTGGTGACTGGAACATGAATGGATCATGACTTTCCCATCATATTGGGAATGTCATCATCCCAACTGACTTGAAGTCCATGATTTTTCAGAGGGGTAGGCGTACCAACCAGTACATACCAGTACTACCTCAAAGCGGCCCATTGATTTTTTCCCGGACAGTGACTGGGAATGCTGGGATGAGTTGACAGGCAGGAGCGTTTCGTTTAAGACTGCCACTGTTGGTTGATGAGCTTAAGCCAAATTGATTTGGGTAGTATCACACTCCAGAATATTGGAATCCCTATGAACCAGTATTTATCGGATAAAACTATTGGTAGTATCCATTATTGGAATCCCTATGAAGCAACCAGTATCTATCGAAATTACTTTACTTCGAGTGATCCCCACCATGACATTTATCGATTTGTTACTGGCAAATCTTCTGGCATTCTATCTGACATATCTTCTGGCATTCGATCCGGCATTCTACCTGGCATATCTTCTGGCATATATTCTGGTATATCTTCTGGCATGTCTTCTGGCATTCTATCTGGCATTCTATCTGGCATTCTATCTGGCATATCTTCTGGCATATTATCTGGCAAATCTTTTGGGATTCTATCTGGCATATCTTGTGGCAGTCTATCTGATATTTTATCTGGCATTTCTATTTGGCATACCTTCTCGCATTCTATCTGGCATATCTTCTGGCATTCTATCTGGTATATCTTCTGGCATTCTGTTTGGCATATCTCATGGATTTTTATCTGGCATATCTTCTGGCATTCCATCTGACATTCTATCTGGCATATCTTCTGGCATTCTATCTGCCCGTTGAGGTCCAGCAGTGCACACTGAGCTGGGGAGGTCCCCGGTTGAGGTCCAGCGGTGCACACTGCGCTGGGCAAATCCCAGGTTGAGGTCCAGCGGTGCACACTGGGCTGGGCAGGTCCCAGGTTGAGGTCCAGCGGTGCACACTGAGCTGAGACGGTCCCTGGTTGAGGTCCAGCGGTACACACTGAGCTGGGCAGGTCCCAGGTTGAGGTCCCAGTGCACACTGAGCTGGGAAGTTGGCAAAGAGCTTGGCGAAGAGAGTTGGCAAAGAGCTTGGCAAAGAGCTTGGCAAAGAGTTGGCAAGGCGGAAGTGGAGGTGGAAGTTGATGCAGACATGGTCGAGGAGAAACTAGAGGGGGAGGAGGAGGAGGACGAGGAGGAGGAGGAGGACAGCTAGTCGACGAGGAGGAGGAGGAGGACAACAGCTCTGATAAAATCTAACAACCCTCACCTGGCAGGTGGGGAAAAAACGATTGAAAATGCCACTGGTCCCTGTTGATTGGTTATTTCTTTGTTGGTTACACTGGTGCAGATCTGGGATGACCCATCCGGGAGACCAACCATGGGGCCATGGGACCTCAATGAGTTTCGGGTGTTTTCCAAGGACTTGGGTAATAGGATGATTGGATGATGAAAAATGGGCAATTTCCTCATTTTTTTGGGGAAACCTCCAGCACTTACAATGAAAGCAGCTGAAGAAAAATAATTTCTGCAAGATTTTCCATGGAATCTTGATTGGGATAAACTACGTCATCAAAGCAACACATCTGGATATTTGGATGTATTTGGCTCAGACAGGGATACCATTTTTGCCCAACAATTCAACAGATGGAGATTGAATTCTGAGGCATATCCATTAGATGGGGATTGAATACTAACCAGAGTATTTTGCAAACTATCCACAGTGTATGTAGTTTTTTGCTTCCTGATTGAGTGATTTTGATACTGATATGATGATATGTACTTGGTATTTACATATAGATTATATCTGTTAGCCCCCTCAACATACCCACTCTTCCTGATTCTCAATCCAATGATTCTTACTTTTTTTTATCACTCCGCTCAAACATTTGTAACCCGACTGTAATTTAGTATATCATGATCAGTGGTGAGTACCCAGCGGTGGTGGTACCATATCGATATACATTATTATTTGTTATTTTGTTTGTGGTCATTACTAGAATATGATTATATAATATTATATATATGTGTATATATATATATACGTATTATATGTATGTATGTTGTGTTGTTTTACTAGTATTGTGTATATAGTAGCAAAAGCCAAGATAGAAGCGTACACAATCAATCACTATATTTTTGGTGGGACTTGACGTTTTTATATGTGTTTACTATGTCGTGTTTTGCTTCACTTTAAATATATATATACATATATGTTTATTTATATGTATTTTTACATGAAATATACATATATATATATATACACATACAATACAATATATATACACAATACATTATATATATATATAAGTACACACATGTCATATTGATCTTTATAGAAACCATAGCTTACTCTTCCCTTCGCCAGGTGGTCTCTGAGATCATTTGGCCCGAGACCGCTGGGAAAGGCATAGGCCCCAAACCGTTGTGATTTCATGGAGATCATGGCCCAGTCGAAATGGTTGATATATGTTGATATGTTGATATAGCAAAGATGGTGATTTTCCAGTTTGCAAACTGTAAACGTTTACCAGCGGGTATCAGAGCTCTATCATGTAGCAGTTACAATCATATCATTAATAAATGTATAAAATATATATATAAAAGAATGATTTATGTGTATTTGTGTATTATATTACACGTAAATAACGTTTGTACTTTTACGAACGTAGATTATATGGACTGACTGAAACTTAGAATGCCTCCATGATTTTCGAAAAAATGGTTGGACAATATTGGAAAACATATAGTCGTGAGGTCCTCAAATGTCCAAAAGGATATTCTAAGTTCAGTCCGTACGTATTAGATCTAGTTGATACCCTTGCCTTAAGATAAACTGACAATCAGATTTTTGGAAAAAAAACACGAAAATTTCTGGATCATTTTCCGAACAAAAACCACAGGTTTTCCGCATCTTCTGGTATGTTTTTTAGCCGCTTGGGATCCCTCCACTTCGCCGCGCCTCCGCCAAAAAGCGTGCGATTGATCAAGCCTGGGATCTGCGTGTTTGGTTTTTGCGCCACCGTTCGCAGCCCAACATGATGAAGGTGCAGAAGCAGTCAGAGATCCCAGAGAACCCAGGGATAGGATGATAGGATGGAGATTGGAAGGTTGAAAATGTGGAGATCTATAGGTGGAACATAGCCTTATATCAATGCTGGTTAGTGGTTTGGAACATGAATGGATTATTTTTCCCATCATATTGGGAATGTCATCATCCCAACTGACGAAGTCCATCATTTTTCAGAGGGGTTGGTTCAACCACCAACCAGCCATTAAAGATCCCATCCCATAGTAATCCCATAGAAATGCCATAGAAATATCATAGAAATACCATGGAAATACCATAGAATGTATTTAAATGTCATAAACCTACCATTTGGAGATGATGCTTCCGACCCGCAGTTGGGGAATGTTAAAAAATGATGGGGTTTACCACGTCAAAAATCAGCAGACTCGGATCGCGAGTTTGTCGGTGACAAATTCTCCAATTGGAAATGTGTGGAACCACCTATGACTCAAATAATACCCATATGCTCCATGGTGCTGGTATATTTACCTACATGACTGGGTCATTTATGGGGTAAATGTTGGTAAATATTCCAGCACCATGGAGCATATGGGATATCATGAAAAAAGGCGAGTTTGGAGACATTAATATGACAAACACATGTTTCCAATATATTTCATTATATGTCCATATGAATTCGCGTTTTGAATCAGCAATGTCGTGTCATGTTTGGAAACATGCTGAGATGATTTTTAGTAGCAAAAGCAACAGCCCACCTCTCCGTTGTATCGAGAGATCATCTCAAAAGGCGTCGAATCGATTAGGGATGGGTGGTTAAACCTATTACAGTATTGCCACTGGTTGGTGGTTTCAAAGATTTTTTATTTTCCATAATATATGGGACAATCCTTCCCATTGACTTTCATATTTTTCAAGATTGTCAAAACCACCAACCAGTGCCATATTTGGGGAATATACATCCATCTGGGTAAATTTCATCACGACCGAACCCTGTTCTCCCGAAGCCTGGAATCATCGTTGGTAAGGGGAATTATCCCCAAATAGCCAAACTATTCAGGTTAGTGAAATACTATAATTTACCCAGGTCCATAAACCATCTGTTTTAGGGTAGGGCACCGGGGTTTTGACTCATGGCCACCATATATTTTGATAAGTTGAAGATTTTACAAATGCTACAAGCCTCAGGTAATCTATATAACATGTCAGGAGCACCCCACCTGTGTAATTCATTTGCAATTATCCACAGAAAAACATCACCGGGATGACTGATTCCCAAAGCGTAACTGGTTGGTAGTTTGTGTGATTCCCAAACCCTACTTGTAATTCTTGTCCAAAATGAGGAACACTTATATGGCTGGCTTTATATGGCTTTATATGGTACAAGTATTCTATTGACATTTCTATACCATACTATAAGCAGAAACAATGTAGCCACTAGCCACCTAATCCTCGGTGCTGAAGGCAGGGGCCCCGGGCATTCAGAAAACATGTAACATGTTTTGAGCATGTTCTATACACAAAAAGAAGTAAAGATATATCCATTGTAAATTCTAAATCCAACACCCCTTTTAGCCATTTCAGGAACCTAAATTGGAGCTACCTGCCTCTTTTTCAGGGCTAAGGCCTCAAATAAGGGCTCCAATTTAGGTACCTGGCCATTGCACTGACCTATCCTAAGCGGGGGCCAAGGAACACCAACAGCTCCTGCTCGACTCCTTCGGACGGGGGGGCGGTGTAAAGCCTGGCTGCCATAAACATGGTGATGACATTGGGATGATTATTGGGGTTAGCACATTAGTTCTTACACGAATTCAACTCTGTGAATTCTGTATACGTAAATTCTGTAGTATAGAGGTGTGTGTATAATTGTATATTATATACATATATATGTTATAATTATGTAAATATCATGTACGTATATCAAGCTTCCAACATCTTGCAACTCCCCAGTCGTCTCAAAATTTCCAGTGATTGTCATGTCCTTTCCTTCGAACGGCCCGCCTTTCCGTAGGACTTTCGAAAGCAGTCGTGGGCTGAGCTGTCTGAAGACTTGCTGACAGACAGTGAGCCAGGCGCGACGCATGGACCGCGATGTTCAATGGAAACCATTGCTGCCATCAAAATACCGATCATATGTAAGATACTTTATGATACTATATGCCTATATGAAAACATATATATATAATTATACAAAAAGTATATGTGTATATTATAATACAATTATATGTATATAAGTGTTGTTCTATCATGTTCTTTCATGATTTACCATTTATTTACCTTATCATCTATATTTTTTGGAAAGGCATTCTCCATGAAATAAACCGGCCAGGAGCTTGGGAGTCTGAGCGCTACACCGATTTGGAATCTTCTCCTCAGCGTCTCGGTGGGGCCTCGATCGATGGGTTTCCGGTGGCCCCTGGCCGTGGGATGAGTTGCTGAAGAAAAAGTGACGGAACTATAGGGTTTATGGTAGAAATAGATCCAAGTAGTCAATGGATGTTAATTAATGGAGTTTATAAACCCACTTACACCTTGTGGGTTGGAAGACATATAGTATCATATAGTTTCCCCTAGAAGAAATGCATAAATGCTATGTTAGATAGATATGTTTAGGGTCAAACATGGTCAAAACTTTCCACTGCAGGGCGATGGTAATGGATGGTAATGGTTGAGTGTTTGCAACTTTATGGGTCTAACCCAGCTAAGACCGATATCTTTGGAAGGGTATCTAAGACCACTTCCAAAGTAGCTCTTGGGGCCACTGGTTGAGATTGAATTGACGCTTGCCGTGGTTGGCTAGGTAATACTGTACATGGTATGTAGTCTGCGCAGCAATAATAATGGAAACCCCAAGTGTAGCCTGTACTCAAGTGTATCGGAAATGTATAAACTGTATTTTGTAAAAACTTATAAGTCGTGAGTAGATGAGTGGTACTCACCTACGGTCAAAACTGTTGATGTTCTGCACCTCCCAGATTCAATATAATCCTACCCCCCGTTCATATTAAATATCCCCCAAATGGTTACATGCACCAACAAAAAACCATCGTTTCTGGGTGTTTAGCATTGAGGGAATGGCAGGCTACTGCCTAACGTTGCTTTCTGAAGCCACTAGAGAAGCTCCAACCAAGCGCCCGACAAATGACCGACGTCGTGCGCTGGGCAGCCGGAAGGCTGCCAACAGCACCAGCAACGGCGCTGCGGAGGGTTTGAAGGCAGGCTACTGCCTAATGTTGCTTTCTGAAGCCACTAGAGAAGCTCCAACCAAGCGCCCGGCAGATGGCCGACGTCGTGCGCTGGGCAGCCGGAAGGCTGCCAACAGCACCAGCAACGGCGCTGCGGAGAGTTTGAAGGCAGGCTACTGCCTAATGTTGCTTTCTGAAGCCACTAGAGAAGCTCCAACCAAGCGCCCGGCAGATGACCAAAGTCGTGCGCTGGGCAGCCAACAGCACCAGCAAGGGCGGGATTACTATGTATTTCCATGCGGTGTTTGAGGGTCCGAATGTTTTTCGTGTGAATTTCCACATCTTCCCACTAGGCGATGACGTCGCCCTGGAACAAGCATATTGGGAGATGGTCATGGCCCCATTTTCATAGGGGTTGTTATATATTCAATGGAAGTTTCACGAACCAATTGATTGGAGGTACCTACCATATATTTTTGGCCTATTGTTCAGGCCTAAATTTCAGGGAATATCCCAGCAAAATATGGCTTGAAATATGGTACAATGTGAGGCCCCCGGTTGATAGCTAAGTTGGTTTATAATTCCAATTTGGTAAACATGGTACGCAAATAACGAACTAGTATTCCTGGGGCGAATCTGTTAACCAACAAACATCACTGGGGGGGCCACATTGTACAGTACCTCCATTGATATCCCTAGAAAATATGGCCTAATTGTAGGATGCTGAAGTTCCCATTGATATTTCATGATGTACCAATGTAGCCATGATAAGAATTGTTAGAATTGGGACGCTGGGATGCCCTAATATCTTTTGAGCATGGTACATGCCAAACCATTTGCACACTTATTCCCTCTGGTAAACTGCCACATAGCTATTGAACATGGCCATTGAAATAGTGGATTTTCCCAGCTATAAATGGTGATTTTCCAGAGTTGTTTGTATGTTTACCAGAGTCTCAGAGGGTATTCCCTCAGCCCTTTAACCCACCTTGACATTAGACCTAGACTTGCTTCGTACATGTCAGTGAGTGAAACATTCCAAGTCCACATATGTCCATGTCCAGGAATTTCCCAGCCAAGACCCATTACTTCACTTTGTTTTAATCTACTGTACATAATCCCTCCAACATTAAACACCATCTATTGTACAGCCCATATATTGTGATGACATTGTTGCTGAATATTCACATGATATCATCTCCAATTACTAAGGTGATTGTACCTTTTGCTCGATTCTTAGCAGTTACAACCTATATTCTAGCCAGCATATGATTTTGAAGAAAGCGCGATTAATGTAGGTAAAACAATTTCATAAACCATCCCCCAGTCATCACCATTTTTATAGGTGGTAGGTTCAAGGACACTGTTAGAAGAAGACGATGATCATACCAATGATGTTGTTGTTGATGATGATGATGATGATCATCATGATCCCGTCGAACTCTTCCAGAAGCGGGGCAAATGGTGGGAGTTGATCGTATGCTTACCATTCCCAGTCATGGCTGATTTATGACATTGTTTTACCCACATTAATATCAATGTCCCAGTATCAACCATTCAAATCCATTCAACATAGCTGACAAAATCACCATTTTTAGTAGGTAAAGTAACGAACTAAATGGCCATCTTTCAGACATCCCCAAGTAACTACCCAGTACCTTATATTACCATAGTATAATCCTAACTAGGAAAAGTCACACTTTTCAATGAGTAAATCAACTTTTTCTATGGCCATTTTTCATGGCTATGTTAGTTTGCCAGAGGGTACAGCCAGATGTATCCACTTCTTGGTGGCCTCAGCATCGCCAGTTCAACCCATTTAACGGAACAGCGTGCGCGCTGAGCGTGGCTGAGGACATCTCCAATGCAATCCCCAGTCCAGAGCCCTGCCATGGCCAAGAACGAAGCCATGAGTGGAGCCATGGCAGCATGGGTCGCGGGGTTTTCCCTCTCTGTGCTGATTTTTCATGGAGATTTAGTGGAGATTCAATGGGATTTAAAGAACTTACATGGAGATGTAACTAACCAACAATATGAGAATTGAAGATAAATTGAAACCATGTTTGGAAATCTTAAACAATCTTGTATATAGGTATATAGATATATAAATATGTATTCTGCAGGTATATTTAAGATGAATGGAAAGTATCGATTTAAAATCCAACGTTGAGTTTAAACATGGGTCCGGTAAATTAACCTTGCAGCAACTATATTAATGTGTTGTTTTTGTTTATGGGTATACTTAATAGGAATTCCAGGATATTCCAGGATTTGTTGCAGTCCAAATTCATGGCACCCCTATTTGGATGGCAAAACATGACGGTTTTCCGTACTTTTCCCTGACATCATGAACATCGTTGCAATATATATATATATATACATATATATATACATATATATATATATATATCTATCTATCTATCTATCTATCTATCTAAATTAAAATATATGGTCGAAGGAAGTTTAGAAGTCAAACTTCCGACAATATGGACAGATGAAAAGCAGAGCAGGGCAGAGGCAGAGAGAAGAGAAAGATTAGAAGAGAGAAGAGTAGAAGAGAAAGAGTCAGAAGAAAGAAGATGCAGATGCGCGAAAAGGTAGGAAAGTCGCGAAACACTGTGTTTTTCCAATGATTTGTGGCTCCGGAGAGTCGAAAAGTAGGCTCGCTAAAGCGGCGGGTGCGGAGCCAGCTGGCCAGATGAGAGATGAAAAATTGCACGCCGTTGTGGCGCGAAGCACATTTCCAAGTCAAAATGTGCAAAACACCTCAGCTCCGGACCTGGAAGTTGAGATGTCGAAAAAGTGCACGCCGTTGTGGCGCGAAGCACATTTCGAAGTCAAAATGTACAAAACACCTCAGCTCCGGACCACTTTTGGAAGTTAAGATGTTGAAAAAGTGCACGCCGTTGTGGCGCGAAGCACATTTCCAAGTCAAAAGGTACAAAACACACCAGGTCCGGACCACTTTTGGAAGTTGAGATGTCGAAAAAGTGCACGCCGTTGTGGCGCGAAGCACATTTCCAAGTCAAAATGTACAAAACACCAGGGGTTCGGACCACTTTTGGAGGTTGCGATGTCGAAAAAGTGCACGCCTTTGTGGCGCGAAGCCCATTTTCAAGTCAAAAGTGTTAAAAACTGACGGTCTCGGACCACTTTTGGAGGTTCAGATGTCGAAAAAGTTTCGAAAAAGTGCGCGCCGTTGTGGCGCGAAGCACATTTGGAAGTCAAAAGCGTAAAAAAAGTGAGGGTTTTGAGCCTTTTTTGACGTGCTGATGTCGAAAAAGTAGACACTGATTAACTTAACTAACTTGACTAACTTAAGTAACTTCACTAACTTAACTACCCTAACTTCGACGACAACAGCAACAACAACAACTACTACTACTACTACAACTACAACTACAACTACAACTACAACTACAACAACTACACAACAACTACACAACAACTACAACTACAACTAGAACTACAACTACAACAGCTACAACAACAACAGCAACAACAACAACAACACCAGCAACAACAACAACAACTACTACTACTACAAATACAACTACAACTACAGAACAACTACAACTAGAACTACAACTACAACAACTACAGCTACAACAACAACAACAACTACAACTACAACTACAATAGATTCGATAGATGGAGAGATAGATAGATAGATAGATAGAAAGATAAATAGATAGATAGATAGATAGACAGATAGATAGATAGATTCATAGATAGATAGATAGATAGATAGATAGACAGACAGACAGACACAGAGAGAGAGAGAGAGAGATCGATAGATAGATAGATAGGTAGGTAGGTAGGAAGGTAAGTAGATAGTCAGAGAAAGAGAAATAGTGAGAGAGATCAATCACCTTTCGGTGCATCAGTGGCTTCGCTTTGCCATCCCTGATTCACAACAACCAAGCTCTCCTATAGGTTTCCTATTTTGGAAACTTCCGCCACCGCCTTGTGCGGTACTACTGGTATATATGTATATGATATTTAGAGATATTTATATGGTATATATGGTCTAAAAAATAGAATATATACATATATATATGGCAGATTTCTATAAATATATTGTATTTATATATATATGGTATATATTTTTATAAATACATTATTTTTCTATATATATATTGTATATATCTATATATATATTGTATATATATCTATATATATATTGTATATATATTGTATATATATATATTGTATATATATGTATTATATTTATATGTATAAATTATGTTGATATATATATATATATATATATATATATAAGTATATGGTATATATAGATATGGTATATATATATATATGTTATATATATATATATTTGGTGTATATATTTATATTTGTTATATATATAAATATGGTATACATAAGGTATTTTTGTTGTATGTATATATATATACATATTTATTTCTTTATAGTGTATGTATATTTGGTATATATATATATATATTTATTTGGTTTTATTTATTTATATCGTATATACATATATATATGGTTTATATATATATACATATATGTATGGTGCAAAAATATGTATACATATATATATATGGTGTGTGTATATATATATATGTGGTTTATATATGTTGTTTATATATAAATAGATATGGTATATTACCAATCATATGTAAGCTACTATTTACCTATATGAAAACAAAAACAGACATATATATATATATATATATATAAGTGTTGTTCTATCATGTTCTTTCATGTTTTACCAATTACTTACCTTATCATCGAGATTTTTTGGAGAGGAATTCTCCATGAAATAAACCGGCCAGGAGCTTGGGAGTCTGAGCGCTACACCGATTTGGAATCTTCTCCTCAGCGTCTCGGTGGGGCCTCGATCGATGGGTTTCCGTTGGCCCCTGGGGGTGGGATGAGTTGCTGAAGAAAAAGTGACGGAACTGTAGGCTTTATGGTAGAAATAGATTCAAGTAGTCAATGGATATTAATGGAGTTTACAAACCCACTTACACCTTGGGGGTTGGAAGATTATATACCCTTTGCTCGATTCCAAGCAGTTGCAACCTAGATTCTAACCAGCATATGATTTTCAAGAAAGCGCTGTTAATGTAGGTAAAACAATTTCATAAACCATCCCCCAGTCACTACCATTTTTATAGGTGGTATGTTTACCATTCCCAGTCATGCCTGGTTTATGACATTGTTTTACCCACATTAATATCAATGTCCCAGTATCAACCATTCAAATCCATTCAACATAGCTGGGGAAAATCACCATTTTTAGTAGGTAAAGTAACGAACTAAATGGCCATTTTTCAGACACCCCCAAGTACCCAGTACCTTATATTACCATAGTATAATCCTAACTAGGGAAAGTCACATTTTTTAATGAGTAAATCAACTTTTTCTATGGCCATTTTTCATGGCTATGTTAGTTTGCCAGAGGGTACAACCAGATGTATCCACTTCTTGGTGGCCTCAGCATCGCCAGTTCAACCCATTTAACGGAACAGCGTGCGCGCTGAGCGTGGCTGAGGACAACTCCAATGCAATCCCCAGTCCAGAGCCCTGCCATGGCCAAGAACGAAGCCATGAGTGGAGCCATGGCAGCATGGGTCGCGGGGTTTTCCCTCTCTGTGCTGATTTTTCATGGAGATTTAGTGGAGATTCAATGAGATTTAAAAGATTTACATGGAGATGCAACTAACCAACAATATGAGAATTGAAGATAAATTGAAATCATGTTTGGAAATCTTATACATTCTTGTATATAGATGTATAGACATATAAATATGTATTCTGCAGGTATATTTAAGATGAATGGAAAGTATCGATTTTAAATCCTACGTTGGGCTTAAACATGGGTCCGGTGAATTAACCTTGCAGCAACTATATTAATGGGCATATTCTATGGGTATACTTAATTGGATATCTAACCAATTGATTTCAGAATCAGAAAATATGTTCATGTAATTCTGTCCCTGATTTGGGAATAAACATCCATTAACTAGCTATTTTGTTGGGTACCTGGGGGTGCCAGAGTTTTGACTCACAACCATATCCGATTCCAGGATATTTCAGGATTTGTTGCAGTCCAAATTCATGGCACCCCTATTTGGATGGCAAAACATGATGGTTTTCCGTACTTTTCCCTGACATCATGAACATCTTTGCAATATATATATCTATCTATCTATCTATCTATATTTAAATAAATGGTATATGTATGTGGTAGTTTTAGGTGTATGTATGTATGTATATATATATATATATACGCGCAACGCCTGGGGTCTGCGAAGGCGTTGCAGCGTAAAGGGTCCCCACTCCCAATCTAATGTTGTTGCTAAGGTATTAGGGAATATTAAAGTCCCACCACCGTTAGACTTAACATTTATTGAAGATCTTCAATGCGGGTTTAATTCTCCCACCGCCGTTAAACTTCTACATCCATTGAAGATCTTCAGTACGGGTTTGACGACGATGATGATGATGATGATGATGATGATGATGATGATGCGTTGCCTGTCGTGGTTGTGTTACCGGGCAAAGCCCAGGAATTTGCCGTGTGTGTATATATATATATATATCTATATTGTTTATATATTTATCGTACCTTAATAAATGGTAATTATATATGTATATATGGTATTTAATGGTTATATATATATATATGTGCGTGTGTTTATACGGATATATATTTATATATCATGTATGCAATTTTTTACATAGATGATGTATTAAACGACTTTAACAGTCATCAATCAGTCACCATCCGTCACCACAAACGGTGAAGGTTTTCTGCTGATCAGCAAAAAAACAGGTCGAGTAATCGACAGATATTCACTGCATGGCGAATAATGTGGAAAACGAAATGCCATAAACAATAGGCAACTGTTTATAGCACCCATTTATGATGATTTAGGGTATGTTTTATATTGTTTTATTTTTAGGTGTCCCACATATTACCATGGAATAGCGTATTCTATGTCAACCCTCACATTTTTTGGGTCCCCGCGGGGCGTCAGGAGGACTCGGAAATGGCGATTTTGTCCCACAACCCAACTACAGCATCGCCTTTCCCGTCCCGTGGCAAGCAGCACGTGCCGCTGCATCCTGTTTTTTCGGATCAATATGTTTTTTTTGGGGGGGAACACGATGAAAAGAACCATGGCATCAATTTTAGGGTATTCGACTTTCAGAGAAAACCATATCCCATATGTAACCCATGGTGCTGGAATATGAATCCCAACATTTGCCCTTGTCCAAAATCACCCAGTCATGTAGGTAAAATATACCAGCACCATGGGTTGCATATGGGATATGTTTGATTGTAAAAAGGACACGTTTCTGACTGAATTTAATGATGACCGCAAGTCATGACGTCACTGCAATGGTGGTTAGGATTTGGGGAATCATCCCCGAATGGCCGCAAAAAATTAGTTATTTTCAGGTTAGTGAATTACTATAATTCAGCCAGATACAGTGTATAGGGATATATTTTCTGTATTTTGGGGATCCTATATAATTGTGGTTTGTTTCCGAATCTTGATGAACAGCATAAAATCATATATTTTTTTGATTTGAGGATCAAAAGTGGTATGAAATCCCAATGGAATTTTCAGCAAATCCCAGAAACGGCTGGGGGTTACCGTCAAGGACCTCCATCCCGATGTTTTCCCTGGGAAAAGTTGGGAAAAGAAGACCATTGATTCTCGACCAATCCATTGACCTGCAACTTTCACCAATCCAATGACCAATCCAAATGTTACAGTTACGAATAACTGCTACGGCTGCCATTTACTTGAGAAGGATTTACTTGCCAGTCCAGTGTTTCCTGATGTGTTGCCACCAATCCACCACCACTCTTGTGGTGCCCTTAGTTGTGGGGAAAAATAAACCCATATGCAACCCATGGTGCTGGAATATTTACCAGCATTTGACGTAAAAATCACCCAGTCATGTAGGTTTTTATATACCAGCACCATGGGTTGCATATGGGAAACCCATCTAACTGTAGATTCAGAATCACCATAAACCCGAAACAAACAGACGTAGCGAACGTCTTCTGACCAGGTCATTGACATTGCTGGCCTTCCCAAAGCACTTTGCAACAACGTTTGCGTGGAGGCGAAAAGGGCGGAGTGAGTTGCTAACTACCCATATGATATAGTTGGGATTAGAAACTCATGAGCTGGGAATCCTGTTGTGTTTAACTAGTATTTAATATATATATATATATTATGTATGTATATTTAATGGAATGTGGATGTGAGTTATACTATGTTATAATCATAATATATATATATATAATATTTATAATGACATCCTCGGTGATTTGAACTCTAGACCATTTGTGTTAATTTCATCTCAGGCCCACGCAGCCCCATTCCCGGATTTCTTGGCTCTGAAGGTTTGCCAAAGTCGCAGCAGGCGATGATGAAACTGGATCCCCTGAGTTTTTACATTGCCAAACGCCAAGTGAGTCCATAACCTCTGGTGAACTAACATAGCAATGGAAAGATCCACCATTTTATAGCTGGGAAAATCCACTATTAATCACTATTAATGGCCATTTTCAATAGCAAACTGTTAGTTCACCAGAGGGTAACCTACTTGCGTCCAGATAAGTTTGTTTGAAAATCTTGGATACCCAATTTGATCCCGTGGTTGAAAAACTAGTCATTTTCCCCAGTAAAGTTGCCATGTTGGGGTTAATCCACAATTTTTCGACACAGCCCAAGACGACAATAATCGGTGGTCATGTATCCCATTGTCAAAACAAATCCCTATTTACATCAGCCATTGGTTGGTTGAATCTCATAAAGAAACGATGATTTCGATGATGATCCCAGTCAAACAGTCAAACAGAAGGAACCCCGTTAGACAATCGAAGCACAAGAGCCAGGCCATGCTACAGCAAGCAGGCTTGACCAATGGAGTGTCTGGTTTCATGACTGACGAAACCAGCACCGTTCGTGCCACTCGGTGGGAAAAACAAGCACTCTGAAACAGCTCCAAAAAAATGCATGTGGATATATATATATATTTATTTATATATATATATATACAATATTGATATATATATATATATATTTCTATATACAATGCATATATATATATATGTATTTAAATATATATTTATATGTATATTTGGGGTTTAGTCGTATCATTTAGGGGAATCCCATGTTTTTCAAAGTCTTCACCCCAAGTCTTTGAGTCGACCATTTCAGATCTTCCTGCGGCGAACCGCAGCGAATTGCCGCTGCCAAGGTGATGTTGGCCAACTGGCCTTCCGCCATGTTCCTGGGTATGGAATGGCGATGGATATCAGTAACTGACCCTTTGGTAAACAAATAGTGATTTAATGGGTTTTTATAGTGATTCAATGGGATATTAATGGAATTTACCCTCTGGTAAATGTGATTTAATATGGGAGATTTGTTGGGATTGTTTCATCCACTTAATGGGGTGTTTACCCTGTGGTAAACTAACAAATGGTGATTTATAGTGGATTTAACCATTGATAGCATGCTGGATCTTTCCATAGTTCATGGGATGGAAATGGATGGAAATGGATGGAAATGGATATACCCTCTGGTAAACAAACAGTTTGCTATTGAACATGGCCATAGAAATAGTTGATTTACCCAATACAAATGGTGATTTTCCACAGTTGTTTGTATGTTTACCAGAGGGTAATACTTATAATATAATATGATTTAATGATTTACCATGATATAATAACGTACCGGGATATAATGATATATAATGATATGATATACTATCTACTTTAGGAATATACTATCTACATGAGTATGTTACTATGATTACGATATTTAAGCTGCCATCGACGCCCATGTTTTGGGACTGAAATGATATACCCTGTGGATCCGTCAAAACCATGCTGGAAGTGTTTCGGGCTGTAGTTTACAGCCACGGAAAAGACGTGATATAGATAGTCATGGGGGGATCCCCAAAATGGAGGGTTTATAAATGGAAAATCCCCATCTAAAATGGATGATGAAATGGGGTACCCCAAAAATTTTGGGAAACCTCCATATATGTATCCATATTAGTTCAATGTGATAGAAAAAATGTTCCGTTTAACACATAAAAGGCTCCTTTTTTCTAGCCGCTCCGCTACGCTACCACCCGTGGGATCATGTGGGATCTCAGAGCCCTCCGGCTGAGGCATTGCATGGATCATTTTAAAAAGAGCAGCTGGGCCGGAGGCGCGATGTGAAAGTTTCAGGTCGTTTCTCTGGGGGCTTGGGTAAACTTGTCACATGATATCCCATGAAATCACCAGTTTTTCTTTCCAAAATGATATCCTTGGTTACTCTAGCTATGTTTCATGGGTTTTTAATGGTGATTTCATATGGGAGATTTGTTGGGATTGTTTCATCCACGATAGGATGGGATATATACTCTCTGGTAATTTGTTACATAGCTATTGGACATGACCATCTGTAGTGCATTTACCTATTTAACACATGTCATTTTTCATAGCTATGTTTACCAGAGCGTATTTTTTTCTCATCTCTCTTTGACCTCCGGTGTCATCAAACGGGGTTTAATTGAAAATCCTCCAGCTAGCTCGATATTTTTCACAGCCATGAAGCTCCATGGCTAATGAAGAGGGATTTTCCGGTAAGCCAATTTTGATTGCCAGAGGATACTTGTGACCACTCCTCTCAGCTGATGCTTCATGCATTCAGACAATACCCTCTGGCTATTTAACATAGCTATGGAAAATGGGTGATTTTCCAGTTCGCTACGTTAAATAACCAAACTGCAAACAATTGTGATTGCAAACGTCGTAATGTTTTCTACCTGGAATGTCGCTCCCCATCAACGAACATATCAAGGTTGTGGTTCAACCACCCACCAGATAAATGATTTACTTTCCACGCAACATGATCCAATCTTGATCACATCTCTTTTTGAATTGCTCCACCCAAGTGGGCAGTGAAAAATCAACCTCTTGACACCTGAAAAAGTCACTGGGGGCTGTCCCCAAAATTGGACCTCCAACATTTCTTGATGTGTTTCCATCATGTTCCCTTTGTTTCATGGCCACAAATGCGCACCACCCCAGTTTGAGGCAAATCAGATATATCCAAATATATATATATATTATACCCTATGGCAAACAAACATAGACCCTGAAAATGAACAACTTTTAGTGGAAACTAATCTTCCAAGCCCTATCTGCCAGGGTCGAATTGTTAATTCACTGGAGGGTTTTTTTAGATCCAAATCTCCTGGAATCCTGATGGGTTCTTTTAGATCCCGGAGAACATATCCCACCCTGGGAGCCAAAAATATCACGGGTTCTTCGGTGAAAAACCCGTTGATTAAACTTCACCCTCCCATGGCTTATTGGTTCTAAATGTGTGTTTGGAAAGATCAGATTGTTTTTGGTTTGACTGAAGCTGTCCATACCAGCAGTTTTGCGAAAATTACCAACATGAGACCAAAATCCGCTGGTTCATTGGTTATCGAGAGGGGGTTGGTTACACATGGTTACACTACCTTCTTATTATCTTCATTGGTGTCAGGGCGTTAAGCTAACTCATGATGGGAACCCTGTTCTCAACCTACCCATTATAATGACAACCTTTTATAGAACACTGTTCTAACCTGGCAGCATCAAGTAGCATCCACTGGAATCCGCCGTGCGAAAAAGGCTCTTCCCATTTTCGCTCAAAACATTTTGGTATGGCGCAAAACCATCTCCAAAATTGAATAGTTGAACAACTGGTGAAAATTAGCAAACATCACCAGCCCATTGGAAGTGTCTATCAAATTATTTATATATATATATATATATAAAGTTGATATAGTATACAGTTCACTGACATACGTACCGTATACTGATGTACACATATTCTGGTTGGTGGTTTGGAACATGAATGGATTATTTTCCAGATTTTTTTTTGAGAATAATCATCATCATCAACTGACGTTCACTCCATGATTTTTCAGAGGGGTAGGCGAAAAACCACCAACCAGCCATTGATTTTCTATGATTTACCCTCTGGTAAACAGCCACATAGCTATGGAACATGGCCATAGAAATAGTTGATTTACCCATAAATAGCATGGTGGATCTTTCCAGGCTAAGAACCATTAACCATCATGAACCATAGTATATCCACCATTAAAAACCGTCATTAAATAGTTGATTTACCCGTTAAAACCATTATTAACCATATAATAAGCATTAATATTCACCATTAATATTAACAGTATATTACCAAGCAATAGTAGGTGGCATCCCAACCACCAACCACCAACTGGCGCCGCGCCCCGTCTCGAGGTTCTCTTCAAATCACCATGGGACTTGCCATCCCCCAGGTCTCAACAGAAACCGGCTTATCCGTTGGAGTTGGAACGGTTGATGAATGGGTACCCAAATGGGATGTTGATGATAGGATATAGTATATATATATAATAACCATATGTTAGTAATGTTTTAATAACCATAATAGTATATAGTATAGTATACATAATTATTTTAGTATAGTATTAATGATTTATATATATGGGTAAATTATAACGACCTCACTGTTCTCCCGAACCCTGGAATCATGGTGAATGTATAGGGGAATCATCCCCAAATGGCCGAACTATTCAGGTTCGTGAATTATTATAATTTACCAATATTTATAATATATATATATATATATATCATTGTATATAGTGAATAGTTGGGTATGGTTATATAATGTTGTATCATGTTGTATAATGTTATATAATATTATATAATATTATATAATGTTGTATAATGTTGTATAATGTTGTATAATGTTATATAATATTATATGATGTCATAGAATGTTATATGATGTGATATGATGTTATATGATGTTATATGATGTTATATGATGTTATATGATGTTATGTGATGTTCTGTGATGTTATATGTATATGTATAATAGTTTGGGTAAAACAATGTCATAAACCAGCCATGACTGGGAATGGTAAACATACCACCCATAAAAATGGTGATGGCTGCGGGATGATTTATGGCATTGTTTTACCCACATTACTGTAAGGCCCCATCTGTGGGCCATATTCAACCAATTCACAAGCATAATCAGTGCGTTTCACTATGTTTCACTAACCTTTCTTAACGGGGT